AATCACATCACTTTCTTTTCACTGAATTCACAGAATTTACAGAATCACTAGGTTGGAATAGACTTTCAAGATCGAGTCCAACCCATGCCCTAACACCTCAACTAAACCATGGCACCCAGTGCCACATCCAGTCTTTTTTTGACACATCCAGGGATGGTGACTCCACCGCCTCCCCGGGCAGGCCATTCCAGTACTTTATCACTCTTTCTGTAAGAAACTTTCTCCTAATATCCAACCTATGTTTCCCTTGACACAGCTTGAGACTGTGACCTCTCGTTCTGTCATTAACTCATTCTGTCTATGGATAACAGATGAAAAACAGGCTACAGGTGTGAGATTTTTGAATTTGAAAGCTTGAAATGAGCAGGGTACAGGTCTCTGAGTCAGGCTCTTAGACTTTAGTCTGCTACTCAATGAGGTGAGAGGATTACATCATTTTTTGGTACCTGCTGCCCACTCCCAGCCCTGAAACCTCTGACAAAGGAAGCAGCTTTCAATTCTGAGCCCTTTGATTCACCATTTACAAAATTAAGACAGGAGTTGGACTGATGTGACAAAACAATTCGTGAATTCTCATGCTGTTTATACTTGAGTAGATGAATAGAAGTAATTTATTAGTGTAAAAACAGGAATCTGTTAAGAACAACATGAGGGCAAACAGGAAAATATGAAAACTACTAATTAATAGGATGTTGCTACTTAGCAGAAATTATTCACAAGGCATTACTTTGCTCTTTATGTGATCTGTTTTTCCAAATAGCTTCAAACAAAACTCGTTTTAATATTATTTTCAGAATAGGTTACCAAGAATGCAAAGAATTCAAGTAATTAGTTTCTAGGGGGAGAGATTTTGTTTCAAAAGAGAGAGAGGATTTCTCATCTCTTTGATAGATCCTGCACTTGCACCATCTCTGAGTGATTAATAACACTATCAGCTCTGCAGAGTTGTGACTGCTCAGTATACAAAAGAGGAAGTGACTGTAACAGTACAAGTAATGTATGGTTCTGGTATCAGAAAAAAAGAGACCTGGTACCAAAATGTCTCGTGTCAACGTGCTGGCTTCTGTTCCAGATATGCTCATCTGGCTCATTTGGCACCACTGAGTGAGCTACTTACCTTCCACATCATTCAGAGCCAACAGGAAAGTCATGGCCTAGGATCACCAGGAACCCATAAAAATGACTTGCTGCTTTCCAAATTTCCACTCTTTCAGTTTTTTGGGGGGTTATTTTTGGTTTTGTTTTTTGTTTGTTTGGTTGGTTGGGTTTTTTTGTTTTGTTTTGTTTTTTTTTTTAATTAGGAACTTAGCCAGAAATCTTGAATGTTGTCTTGCAAAGCAGAGGAGTCAAAACTCAAAGTGAATTATTTTCTTTTCCTTAAAGGAGACATAGCAGTATGTTAGGCACCTGCAATGTAGAATATAAATGTTGAGGTATGGAAAAGCTGATGTGAAAGACTCAGGTTAAAAAAAGTCAAAAAAGATACTCAATCTAAGCTACTGGTTTTTGAAATGCAGACATAAACCAGAGGAAACTCTTCTGCCAAGTAAAATGACTTGAGGATAAGCAAACAATGATTTGCAAAATCTGGCATTTTTAAAATCATGGAAAATTGAACAAAATAAATTAACTAAAACCATGCAGTCAGAGTGGTATTCTGACCCCAAAGCTTACTCCCCATTTTCATGCTGATCATTTGTAAAGAGTTGCAAATTACCTAATTACCAAATTAAAAAATTATGATGTTCAAAATAAATATTAATGTTGAAAATAAATATTTTCCTTATGAGCCTATAAGGGTTTTTTTAATCTCATTTTCTAACATGGAACCTTTGAATTGAGTACTTGAAAAAAATAAACCCAAAATCTTGAGCTACTACGGGCTCACCTGTTCAGCACTGTCAGGAAAACTTCAAAAATTATTTCAAGACACCCATCAGGATGATTGACTCTAACTCCTGGCCCTGCACATGACACCCCAACAGTCACACCATGTGCCTGAGAGCCTCGTCCAAACACTTACTGAGCTCTGTTGGGTCTTGTGCTGTGACCACTTCCCTGGAAAGCCTCTTCCAGTGCCCAACCACCCTCTGGGTGAGAAAAATTTTACTGATATTCAACCTAAACATCCCCTGACACAGCTTCATACTGCTCCCTTGTGTTCTGTCACTGGTCACCAGAGGGAAGAGATCAGTGTCTGTCCCTCCTCTTCCTCTCATGAGGAAGTTGTAGCCTGCAGTAAGGTCTCACTTCAGTCTCCTCTTCTCCAGGCTGAAGTGACCTCAGTTGCTCCTCACACAGCTTCTCATCCAGAACCTTCACCATCCTCATGGCCCTCCTTTGGATGCTCTCTAGCAGCTTGATATCCTTTTCATATTATGGCACCCAAAACTGCCCCCAGCACTGCAGGTGTTTGCCTCTGCCCCAGCTCAGAGCAGAGCAGGACAATCCCTCCCTTGCCTGCCTGGCCATGCTGTGCCTGATGCCCCAGGACAGGGTTGGCCCTCCTGGCTGTCAGGGCACTGCTGGCTCACGTTCAACTTGCCACTGACCAGGACCCCCAGGTCCCTTTCCATGGGGCTGCTTTCCAGCCTCTCATTCCCTGGGCTGTCCATAGATCCAGGGTCGCTGTATTCCAGGTGCAGAAGTCTGTTTTTTTCTCCCAAGGACCATTCCTTCTGTTACCCTCCCAGTCTTCTGGAGATGCAATTAATTTACTAATCTGCACAATGTCAGGAGGATTTGGAGCCCACATAATCATTAGGTCCACTTTTTCCTTCAACTTTTGTTTTTCTTTCTGTTCCTCCTGTAAGCTGTCTCTGGAGCGGTTCTGTTTTGAAGGACTGTAGTAACTCAGTACCTTTCCATCTCAGTTTTCAGTCTTTGTTTCTCTTTAATATTATCTTTTCTGGAGTGGCAGGCAGCCTCTGGAAAGGTATCTAACATTTTGCAAATGACCACTTTCTTTTTCCTAGCCTTTTTAGAGCCCTTGCAACTTACAGACTTTCCTCCACAGCTTTCCAATCACACCAGTTATCCTGAGCCCATTTGTCTGAGAACTTAGGACTGGGACTTCTTCCATGCTTTTGTAAGTAGTCAGTAATACTGCTTGCAGACCTGCTGACTACACCAATTTTTGGTGACTGTGTGTTTTAAGGTCACTTAACAAATCAATGGCAAAGGTATAATCAAAACCAGGTTTGATGTAGAAGTGAAAGGACAACAGAGTTCTTTGGCAAGGTTCACTCTACTACTTACAGATGGTAAAAAAAAAAAAAAAAAAAAAAAAAAACCCAGTGTCAATTAATCCAGACCAAAAATAACCTCAAAGTATCTCCATGGAGGACTGCAACTCCTGACATGTGGTGAGACACCACCTTCCTTCCTCAGGGTTTTATCCAGAACCTGCTGGGCAATCAATTGGCCCACAGTCCTGACCTTTAATACACAAGGAGACAACATGAAAAAGATTTTTCAAAAATCAATCCACTGTAATCATATACAAATCAGAACAGTTGCAATAGAGTAATGCAAATGTTGAAATTTGCATATTTTCCTAGCAAATTTCTGTGAACCAACATTTTACCTGCTGCAGCAGAAAATTTTGAGGTCAAGTTTCTTCAGCAAAGCAGAAAAATTAGTTGGTTGTAAAGGAATATGTTTGTTTTAATTGTTACATAGCATTTATCGATAAAACACTCATTAACAGTATTGTCATCTCTCTCTGCAATTTCTATGGGTTGTTTTGGCCACCTAAAACAGCTAAGTTCATATTACAGGGACAATCACAGAGTTTGAATTCAGACGAAAAACAGTAGAAGACCCTGGTTCTCCAGGTTTCAGTGCATTTTAGTGTGAATTTATAATAATCATTCTAGGCTACTTTCTAATCCTCTGGATGGTATCAATAATATTTTTTAATGTATTTACTCTAGGAATTAATTTTGTTTGATCACTGAGACTGCCTCTGCTTCACTTTTGTATAGACTGTCACAGATTTAAAACAGAACAGTTCTTTTCGTTGTATGCTAGAAGGAAATGTTCTGTGCTGACACACATAATCCCTGTGAAAGTAGCTCCAGAGCTGAAAGCAACCCACTTTTCTCAGCATCTTGCAATTCTGCTTACACCATAACACATGAATGCATTTCTCCCACCTTCACTCTCTGCAGTGGCTGCAGAGGGTGAGAAAGACCCTAGAACATGAGTTGCTCAGTTTGTCCCCAAACCCACTTTGCACTTATTTGAGAATAAGCAAGACCTTTTCAAAATCAATGGATTCTATATGGCATTTATAAGCAAGAGATGATGCTCCCTCTTCCAAAAGCGCTCCTGAACGCTTTAGGTGGCTGTTACTATAAAAATATTCCATATCTAGACTACCATATGGTTTTCTAGAAACCTGCTCCATCCCAGTGCAGCACTCTGATGTGTCATTGCTCTGTCTGCTTCCCTTATATGACATGTGCAAAACCTAAGAAATTGCTTGTGTGCTATTCATGCCTCCATTCAGCACTGTGCCTTGTCCCCTTCACTTCCTCCTGCATTTAACAGTGTAGAATAAAGAGACATGTATGGCATTAGGAAATATTTCTCCCATTGCACTACTTTGCATTTGCCTTCTTTTGTTTGGCAAAGAGGGAATTTTTCTCAAGGACAGCTTTGCACAAGTAGCTGTGTTAAGCTCTGTTCATACTGCTTCAGAACAAGGATACACCATTCCAGTGTTTGCTTTGGAGAGAGGATTTGGAGGTGCATTGAATGATGAGAGATTTTAATGGGTGCCTTGAAGGCTCTAAAGACAGAGAAGAAATGCATCATTTCATATCTCCAGCTTAACTGATGTTTTCCCATTTCAAAACAAGATATTAGCAAGTTATCTGGTTCAGGAGCATCAGTTCATGGAAGGAGCAGATACCCACCAGTGAGGACAGAACAACTGCAGGGGGAAAAAGCATTCCATCTGTTCATGAACGTAATTCCTCTGTTTTCTGTTCCAGCTCATCCTTGCCACGTGGGAAGGCGGCTACAACTTGCAGTGCCAGAACCTCCACAGTGCAGGGGAGGCTGATATCCGGGTGAGAGACAAGAGCAGCTCAGCCCTCAGCATCCTTTCTGTTTTAACTGCCTTTAACTGTCCTAGGACATATCCTGAGCTCTGATAAAATATCTCTACTCTAGAGGAGGATAGATTTCATTCTATTGAGTATCAAATTTAGATTTTTTTCAAAAGAAGATTCTGGCAGCAAAATCTGTTCAGTGTCAAGAAAATAGCAGCACCCTTAAAAAAAAATGAACAAACAACCCCAAAATGAAGCAAAAAAAACACCCACAAAACTGCACCTTTGGGAAAAAACCCAACAAAACAATTAGAAAACCCTTCCTCAAAGCTTCTATTTCTTAAATTATATTTTGGTAATTATATATTTATACAATTTCTTAAAAGATATGTGTTTTTTTACAAAACTTCTTCATTGAAAAGCAAATTGAAGACAGAGCTTGTACTTCTCCTTTAATAGTGTATTAATGCCTTCTGGGAAGTTATATGCCTAGGGAGTGAAGAAGTACAGTAATATTTAAGCAATTGTATGGACAGATATTGATCTCCCACTCCTTTGTTCTTGCTTGTGCAGGTAGCCAAGGTGCTGTGGTGGTATTATTTTTCCAAAGTAATTGAATTCATGGACACTATCTTCTTTGTACTGAGAAAGAAAAGCAGCCAGATCACCTTCCTTCATGTGTATCACCATGCCAGTATGTTTAACATTTGGTGGTGTGTTCTGAACTGGATACCTTGTGGGCAGAGTAAGTCTTTGTTTGCTTCATCACCCCAGGTCAGTCAGCTGCAGCTGGGGAGGATTCACATCACCATGCAGAGGAATTGTGTCACTGTGCAATATGAGGGCACCTTTAGGGTTCAGAGCCTTTCAAGCCACCTGTAGAATACAGCAAAGTTAAAAGTATGGTTAAAAGTTCAGGCCAAAAATACCTGAGTGTTAGGCTCTAGATTTTTCACTTAGCTGCCACAAACTCATGTATTTATTTCTCTTCAAACCACTTTTAAGCACCACAGTACTGAGTAGCACAGAGGAGCCAGCACATACAAGACCTACTCCAAAAGTAGATGCAGGGAGAAGTCATGACTCTGGTAAAGCCTTTATCAATCACAACAAATTAAATCAATGGCCCTTTTACAGGGTCAACTCTTGTATACATCAATCTCTGCTTTAGCAAGATACTTTACTTACATAATCACTAATTAAAATACCAGTTTGAGTTTCTTCTGTTTTGTATAAAAATACATCCTCAGAAGGTTATACCAACTGTCATCATCTTCCCTATGGGAAGGGATCTATAATGCCACAGGCTGGTCACTTGGCATTTATATAAGAAGTCCAAACAGCAGAGAACTACTTCAGCTGTCTCGTTTTTCCAGGGCTTCACACAGCTAGAGGCTTCCTGTGGAAGTGCTTTCAAAGTTGAGAAAAAAAATCAGTTTTCTTACAGCTTATTAGACTGAGTCACCTTAGCCCATTGTAATAGTTTGTAAAGAAACTTGTTGCAGGTCTTTTTCAGAGCTAAAAGCAGAATTCATATTTGTTGGCTCTTACTGTGGGCAGCACAAAATCAAAGTAAATCACTGTTAGAGATAGAAGCAGGGATCAGAGATTTCATAGCGATTAGGAGCTATTTCTAGAGGTGTAAACAAATCAATGGGGGTTTGAGCTTTCTAATGTGTGGTACCCACATTTTACACTAGCACTGCACAATAGTAATTAAATCAGTAGCTAAGTAATTAATCAGTGGTAAAATCAGAACAACTGGTGAGTCCATCTTGTAGTACTGCCATCAAACACACAAGCACACAGCAGAGCAGCGCTGATGCTTCTCCACAGTCTGCAAAGTACAGAGGATGATGAATTTCCTCTAGAACTAGTATTTATTAAATGTAACTAATAAGAGCAGCAAGGTATCATCTGGGATGAAATTCTGTGAAATGTGCATCTAGCAGAAGAGCCAATAAAGTAAACAAAAGTGATCAAACACGGTCACAAAAGGCTGGTTTAATTCAGAATAAAGCCTTTGCTATTGCATCAGAGAGCAGGAATGTAGATGTCTCACAGGATCCTAAGCAGGAATAACAGAAAGACTCATAGCAAGAACAATTTTAGGAGAGGGAAAAAAAATAACCTGTAAACTACAGGATAGGAAAAAGTCAAGAAGAAAAATATCAGATAAAAATAAAAAATTCAGCATGAGAACAATCCTCTACAAGTATCATCTGGTTTTTCAGTTATCCCTAGGAGAGCACCTCTACACAACAGGAATGTCTTTAGCAAGGAATAAGCATGAAAGGAACACTTGCCACATGCAACAGATTCCATGTAGGAGCAATACCACAAGCAATAATATCCTCTCTCACTTTTTAGAAGTTGGTATTTAATTTTTTTTCCCCTAATGGATTTTTGTAGGCTTCTTTGGACCCACTTTGAATAGCTTTATCCACGTGCTTATGTATTCTTACTACGGACTGTCAGTCATCCCTTCTATGCGCAAATATCTCTGGTGGAAGAAATACCTCACTCAGGCACAACTGGTATGTATCTGTCTTACTTTCATTTTTAACTACTAGAAATCCTTCAAAATGTCAGCGAGGACTAAATGAACTATAAGTAAACATGGTTGTTTACACAATTAAGCCAGTTAGAATTGAAGTATAACTAAACTATCACACAGGATAAGTCGCTAGTGCAGCTTGATAAAGTTTAATGAAAGAAATTATGCTCAGAAGTGTTTTCTGTAGAAAACAAACAGTAGAAACTCTTTAGTGCACAAAATTCTGTTAGTTTTGAACCATTGCATAGAAAATGACTACTCCTTAATTGTGGAAAAAAATGATTTAAAAGTCACAAAAGATGCCTGACAGAGCCAGCCAAGACAGACCTCCCCTGCTGGCCAAAGCTGTGCCCATCAGCTGTGCCCACACCTCCGTGATACTGTATTTATTTAAGGGTGAAAAACATAGCACAGCAGCTGAGAGAGAAAATGGGAAATGTGAGAGAAACAGCCCTGCAAGTGCCCAGGTCAGAACAGAAGGAGGGAATCAGCACCAAAAACTCCCCTGCAGCCTGTGGTGAAGATGCTGGTGAAGCTGTTCCCCTGCAGCCCACGGAGGAGCTCATGCTGCAGCGATGGACATGTCTGCCCTGAAGGAAGATACAGCCAATGGGAAATAGGCTTCTACGGACCCATGGAGAGAGGAGCCCACCCTGGAGCAGGTTTGCTGGCACAATCTGTGACCCCTTGGGGATGCACATAGGAAAAGCCTGCTCCTGAAGGACTGGACCATGTGGAAGGGACCCATGCTGGGGCACTTTGTAAGGAACTGCAGCTCATGGGAAATACCCACATTGGAACTCTCTCCTTTGGGAGGGACGCCACAATGAAGCAGGAAAAGAGTGTGAGGAAAATATGGGCTGACTACAAACCACATCCCCCTGCACCACAAGGAAAGAAGTAGAGGAGTCAGAAGTGAAGTTGAACCTGAGAAGAAACAGGAGTTTAGAGGAACATGGTTTTGATTTTATTTCTTGCTATCTTTTTATGTTATTAATTGGACGTACTTGAAACTAATCTTCCTCAAGTCAAGTCTATTTTGATTATAACAGTAATAGGTAAGTTTTATCAATTACCCTCTCTACCTTTATCTCAATCCACAAATTCTTTTCATCTTATTTTCTTCCCCTACTCTACTGAGGAGAAGGGAGAGAGCTGCTGCGTGGGCAGCTGGCAGCCAAGCCAAGTTAACCCACAACACAGTAGTACAACTACAAAATGCAAAATGATGTAAACAAACTTTAGGCAATACAGAAATTGACTGACTTCTAAAAGTCCATTCCACCTGTTGCTGTACCCGAGGACCTGAACCACATCAAAAGTTTCTATCAACAAGATATGAGGTTTGATATGAAATAAAGTTCCTTTTACTTTTTTTCTCTTTCATATTATTTGGAAATTCAGATGTTTGCAGTGAGCTTTAAAATGCCTGTGTAGAAATTTGCTTAGCAAAAGCTGCTTCTCTGATCTGAGACCATCCTTGCAGGTGAAACACATTGCCCTGTTGGAAATGCACCTCAGTACACTGGTTTGAGGGCACACTTATCTGCCTGAGGAGAACGAGGTGCACCACTGTGGGCTGTGGCTCACAGTTCTAAATACAGACAAGTCTCTGCAATTCCTTCCCTGTCTCATTTTTGCTTCCTTTCTTCCCTCCTTAACTCTATTAATGCAAGTGATAGCCTATCTGAACTCCTCGGACCCGAGTTTTGCATTTTCTGTTCAGACTTCTAAAGCTATTGCCAGGAATCTTCAGAGCCTCCTCCAGTTCCTGCCCAGTAACAAGAGACAACAACTCCACCTGTCACAAGGACTGGAAGATAGAACAAAACCTACTAAATCTGAGAGAAAAAAATGCAAACTTTCCTTTTGTCAATTCTGCCTATAAACTTACTTTAAGAAACCTCTGACCCCTTAGGGTTTTATTTAATTTCACAAGAGCACCATTTTAACTTAACACTCACAATACATTCAGAGGTTATAAAGGGATACTTTTCAAGAGTACTCAAGCTTTCTGGGAGCAGGACTAGCGGACATTGCTGTGTCTGAGTTAGCTAGCATTGACCCTTTCTCAGCAAATACACCTGCACTATTTTCTCTCCACAGATCCAGTTTCTCCTCACTATTGTGCACACACTCAGCGCAGCTGTGAAGCCATGTGGATTCCCATTTGGCTGCCTCATGTTCCAGTCCTCCTACATGGCCACACTGGTCATCCTCTTCATCAACTTCTACATTAAGGTAAGCAGTCTTCTGAGAGTTCTCTGACAAGGATGGGGAAAACAGGTATTTTTGGATAGCAGTCTGGGTGGACTCAGATGTAATGATCATCAGTGCTTAAAATGCGTTAGTCTTAAAATATATACATCACTTAAGCACAACAGATATAGTCTGTCTGAGAGAGTTACTCAGTGATGATGACTTCCTCATTGCAGCTCAACTCTTCTGCACTTGTATAGCAGATCAGGTACTGCATTCAGTACATACAAGGTCTGAACTTGCTTTGGTGGACAAATGTGAGTCTTCCTCCTCCTCAGGGGAAAAAAAATAATTTAGAGCTCTGTCTTTGCCTTGTTTACTTCAACATCTTTTAGCAGGGATTGCTCTAGTCTGCCTGCATGCATAAAGCTTTTAGTGTACAAGGCTTGAAATCTCTTTTGACATTGAGAAGTATTACGCTAAGGCTAGTAAGTAACATCACCCACAGCAGCGAAAAGGCTAATATACCCCTTAATGCAGTCTGAAGCAAATATATACATCTGCATCAACAAGCAGCAGACAAGCTCCAATTACAGTTAACCATAAGTAGTGTTTTGTCAGGCACTAAATGAATCCAAATGTTTATTTTGGATTTTGCTTTTATAGACATACCGGAAAGCACCTTCAAGAACAGCTGTAAAGGAACCCCCTGTCACGACAGAAATCAAGAACGGTTTCCATAAGGACTACTTTGCTGCTGCCAATGGATTGCAGAATAATAAGAAGGCACAATAAGTATAGTGTTTCCTACAATTTTTTTTCTAAAGCAAAAAAGAAGAAAAAGGACTGAATTACAAGCTTTAGCTTAAACCCTATTTGATTACATTTATCAGTTCTTTGTACCAGACACTTATTAATGTACTGCTATTTAGGTTTTAACAAAATGTGTAGAATTACTTGTCTTGTCAAAGAACACCATCAGAACAAAGAAAGCCAAGATATTTCTCATGAAAAAGAAAACCTTTCTGATCTCTAATGCTGACACAAAAACGCCTTATGAAACACTTGATGGATGAATCCATCAATGCCTTCAAAAGGTTAGGACTCTATTCAGACTAACACAGTCTGCACTTTCTGTGCATGAAAGAGGTCTTGAAGCAAGGCTCCACGGTGCACCCAGTACATCCAGCTAAACAGCAGTCAAGGCCAGGAAAATAAAGGAGGGGTAGAAGGAAAGGTGAGAATTGTACCTTTTCCATCACCATACCCCTCTTTTCTTCTTCTCAGCAATTCCCCAAAGCATGGTACCCTAGTAAGGTACCCCTTGATCCTGTGGGAGCCCTGGGGAAGGACATGACAGAGGGCAGAGCCCAGGTGCACCATCCCATAGTTTGCAGGCAGTTGTGCACCACACTCACTTGCTTAACACAAGTGCAACCTGATTCAAATCCCAGGAAGGCTGTTGGGAGCTTTCTGTTTCAGGGGGCTGGGCTGGTAGCCCCTGGCACTGCCAGGGAATGGTATTCCAAACACAGAGCAAAAGAAGTCACTTCAGATGTGCTAAATTAATAGGAGTTCTAGGTAAATGAATTTTGAAAGAAATAGGGTCATGCCAACTTAAGGAAGATAAATCTGTTGAGTGTAAATGCGTGTAAAGTTAATCCTATACAAACACTGCTAACTCAAAGCAAACTGCCACGCCACATATCATTAGACTGGAAGATGCAGAAAATTTGAGAAGTGACTTCAACAATGAAGTTACCCAAGCAGGTTATACAGGAATTTCTGTGGCAGGTGGACCTTACTCAGACTGGTCTCTGGCTGGAGGAACAGATAGGACTGAGACACAAGCCACTGGAGGAGAAGTAAGGATATATCTGCTGTCTACAGTTATAAAGGTGTCTCTCTCCCAACAGATAGTGATGCCATCTTTGTTGCTTCAGTTCACTGCATTTACCCCCACTTAAATGGTTAGAAATTAAGAATACGCAGGGTTAACTTAATGGGTCTGCCCTCCCCCTTTTCTCATTTAGCCCACTTTATTTCCTCTACTAAAAATAGACACAGACTTTTTTCATCACAGTGAAGTAGTTCTGATCTCTTCCATTCTCATGTATAAAACTCTCAACAAAAGCAACTTTTGGAGCCACTCCAGCCCAGCAAGTCCCTTGGACTGAAGCAATTCTATAAAGGAAATATCTCCTCTCACTCCTGTCACCTTTTAGAGCCCTGGAGCGGGAGGAAGACAAAACACACACCTAGCCAGCACAGAGACCCATGCAGCCACAGAGGGCACACATGGAGAGGAGACTGTCCCAAATCCTGCTGTCCAATTCTTCTCCAACTCTAGAGGGTCAGTTATCCCCTCCAGATATCCCCATTTAGATGATCTGCCATCAGGGGTTGTTGGAGACTGCAGGCATAAAGGCAGGAGGAAGGTTTATCCCAGGGAGCAGTATGGACACAGGGCAGCCAGCCTCACCAGGTGCAGCCCAAGAGATCACAGCCATGAGGGCTCATGGATAGGAAGGAAAGAGACTGAGGAAGTGGTACAGCAGGGGAAGAACAGATAGGATTGTCCAGCAAAAGCAAGAGGAGAAAATGGCATGAAGAAGGGTTTCTCGTGTCAGAGTTCTGCTTGACGTTGTGCTTGAAAGTCATATTGAAGCCATCTGTCTCCAGCCAGTTCCAGCTCCATTGCAATGTGGATGAAACTTTTCTGCTCCAACAGAAAACAGAAATTCCCAGAATGCTACAGCAGAAGCAGTACCTTAGCAGCCACACTGCTGAACTTCTTTGTCGTAAACCAGGTAACCAAAATAACTGCAATATTCAAACTTTTACACCAACCTAGATCTAACTGGTGCATATTGACATTTGCTCCCCTCTTCATGAAGATGGCCATGAAACCTCACTTACTAAAAGTCAGTGTTTTGTTTTATTTAACACTCAATAAGGGGGAAAGCAGCAACCCAAAAGAAAAAACCTGAACAAAAAAAACCAAAACCATTGCTTTCACAAATCCTAGACACAGTATGCATATCCTATTTTTCACTGGTTCTTCTAGAACTTTTACAGGTATATGAAATGAGTGGGTTTGACTGAAGGTGTTTTACGCAGGCCTGAGTACAGGCAGAGCTCCAGACCTCTGCAGAAATCAGCTTAATACTGGAAGCCAGGGTAAAGGCAGAGGAATCTGAAAGAGCTGACAAGACAGTGAAGATGGCAATGAGCTGGACCATTCATCCAAGGCAGGCAACACAAGGGCTTTGTGGCCCAGCATGGATTTTAGACCGAGTGGAGTCCATAATCTTTTGATGGCAAAGCGCGCATTTGACTATCAAGGTGGAAAGCGTCAGCTGTGCTAAGTGTTAAGGTTTACTACAGCAATCAAACCCACAGATATTGTCTTTTGTTCTGTTGAAACCTCACTCAAAAGAAAAAGAAATAAATAAATGCCTTACTTGAAATTCAAAGGGCTGGGGAAAAAAAATAAAATAAAAAAAAAAAAAAAAAAAAAAAGGAAAAAAACCAGATGGTCTCAGACCTTGCAGATCCAGATCAGCCAGGAAGGCTGGAATCAGGTATGTTTAAAATTCTTCAGATATGTCTTAACATCTTTAAAATGTTGCAACTTTGAAGAACGAGAAGCATTGACTTTTTAAACTGATTTTCCTGTAATACATAACACTGTAAATAAATTTTACTATCAGACTGTCTCCACTTCTCCTTAGGGCATCAAGTTGAGCTGGTAACTGGTTACTTGAGACTGCTTTTGTTCTCCAGATTTTTCAGAAGCATTTTAGGGTATTCACATCAGATTGAAAAACAATCTCCATAACTTAATACAACATCTCCACTATTGGTATTGGTGTAAAGCTTCCATGCAGTTTTTTTGCCCCTCTACTTATAAAATGATGGGCTTTTGAACAAAGGTAAAACTGAAGCAGAGAACTTATCTGTTCAGTGCTTGTACTTGCCCATCAAGTCCTTGTTTGATTATCAGATGTTTTCAGATGGAAGGTGATGGTTGAAAAGAGGAGAGAGACAACAGAGAAATCAAAATCTCAAAAATAAATCTCAGGATCTCAAAAATAAAATTTCTTTCAGATTGAAAATACACAATAGCTCTCAGCTGTTGCTAGAAACATGTCTATTTTCCAGTGCACTACTCTCTTAGACACAGCTCTACTGCCTGCAGAAGCAGCACCTGTCCCTGTGTGCTCCAGCTAACCTCAGCACACCTTACCAATAGCAGGGTGGGCTGTCCCCAGGCCAGGGTAAACACAGCTCCTCTGCCCACTTCCAGCCAAAAAGGACATCCTTTTTTTCTGGCTTTACACAGCCTTGACATGAGGTAGCTGTAAGCCCTTGGATGGGCCACTGCACTGGCACAGAGTGTGCAGGTAAACAAGCACTTGGCCCAGCACCATCCTCTGAAAGAGATGCAGCATAAATAGCAGGGGTTATAGTCAGTTTACTATTAAACCCTATTTAGAGCTTAAAAATGCATAAAGTTCCTTAACTGGAACTTTTCTATTTCCCGTTTCTTTTTCTGGGTATTGGTGCATAGTTTTTGCACCTCCGCACCTACATCTTTTTTGTTCTGGCTCAGAAGTGTCAAGGAAACTGAACAGGTTGAAATTTGAGCTATATATATTTGCACTGAAAGGAAGAAAATAAAAGAAATAGCTGGATTAATAGCACTTTAAAAAGCATGAAGTTGGAAGGGCAAAGGAAACCTGCCAAGGTCAGCTACCTACCCTTCCTAAAGGTAATTTTAGGATAACCCAATTGCACATCTGTTGCCAAAACCAAATGGACTTCGGACCTTCAGGAGGTTTGAGGTCAAATACATTTAATTGACCCAGCAGTGCAGGAAGTGGTATGAGATGGGCTGTCCAAAGTCAGAAAATGTTTTCTGTCCCAGATGTGCTTTCCAAACACTTCTACTGCCTACAGATGGAAAGACCATTAGTAAACTCCAAAGTTTTCACCTTATGCAGTTCACAAGTTACCAAGCTGGAGCACACTGAGCCTCCCAAATGCTAAAGTGTTTCATATGAAGGGATAGATGAGTGCAGGGGTAGAAGGCATGTAAGCAGTGTGACATCCCTTTCTGCTCTCCCATACCTATCATTAAAACACCCTTTTGGGGTTCAGACTTTTCCAATAAAACAGTTAAAACCAAGTGTAAGTGCATACAACATTATGGCAATTTTTACTAAGGAACCCTGATTTTTCCTTTATCCATGCTCTCTGAAGTGCTCAGCAGTCACCTTCCAAGCTTTATAGTTATGTTATGCAGAGATGGAACAATAAGACACAGCAATGCACTCTAAGTTATCTAGCAAAGATACTTGGATGAAAACTATTCCTAACTTTTTACAGTTAGAGGAGACACCGAGAGAGCCTTCTGCCGACACACATGAAGGGTGAGGAAATGCAGCAAAACAAGTGCTTCTCTACATCTGCTTCACAGTGCTGACAAAGCTTAAATGCTTAGCAGCATGAACTTAAGAAAGCAATGAATCCATTCAAAACCTCAGCTACAAAAAAAAAAAAATAATTAACCACTACTGTCATAGTTTGAAAAAAAAAAAAAAAAAACAGCACCACCTTAAACCAGAGAAAGACATCCCATTCTCCTCCTCTTCCTACTTCAAACCTTCCCTCTGGGCACAAACTGCTTGGAGATGCAGATGAAGGAGCATAAATAGGCCAAGGCTCATCCCAAAGGAGATGACATGTGCCCCGGGGGTGTGAGTTCTCAGCGCTGTTTCTGTGGCTTTGCAGAATTCACTGCACATGAACAACCCCAGTGCAGGCAGCTCATCTTGATTCTTGGGTCTGCTTCACATCAAGCACCTTGATAGCCCAGGTTGCACTGTCATGTTGGGCCAGGGAGTGGGGAATAAAAGCAAGGAATATAGGCATTTATTTAGGAGTGGGAGCCACACAACACAAGGCATCCCTTTACATTCACCAATGAGAGCTCTGAATCACAGTAAGAAGCAACAGGGCAGTTCAGTATTTATCACACTCCTACAGCCAGAACCTTGGCTCATCCAGGCAGTAGGATAGTGATAGGATCAGATTATTCAGGCTGGTATCTTAAAGCCTCTTTTGGTTAATGACACTGCCTTGGCCATCAGAGTGTATCACCACACTAGTGGGGCCAGAACCTGCTGAAAACTCTGTTGCCAAGATACAAAACTAGTTTTACCAGACTAAAGCACAGCTGCTCACAGAGGTTACAGCTTCATCTCCCAGAAGTCATGGCTGCTTCAGCCGAGTGCTTTGAGAGTCCAGAATTAAACAGCAGCTGTAAAAACACTGAAGAATAGCAGGAGGATGCAGTGTAGGCAGGTCACTAGAGCCATGGCCAGCCCTCCAAGAAACAAGCACAAGTCAGTGAATGTAAAACCAGCATTTCAGCCCTTCACATTAGGAATAGGAGGGGCAGACCAGTAGATCTGAACTTCTGGAAATGGCAGGGTTGAAGAAGTCTTTTCTTTTAAACCACCCCAGGAAGAAAGCCCCAAGTGCAACTTGATGTGAATGAAAAAACTTCAGCTCATGCCAGCCCTAGTCAGGACAACTTAAGATAAAGAAATAAACATAAAATGGTAACACAATGGCAACAGCAGCTTCTTGCTGTGCTGGTGTTACCCCTGTGTGACCTTCTCAAGCAGGAACAGCATCAGCCCCATTTCAGTTATGAAACAAACCCTGTCAGGGTTTCGGCTTTTGTTATGAAGATACATTTTGTGCAGGGGAGGATTCCCTCAACTCCAACCCATACAGCAATCTGAGGCTGTTTCTCTAAGTTAAGGAGATAGAAACCCAATGCCTGGAAATCTGCCACATTCCCACAAATTCATTAAGGTGCATTAGCACTAATGCTGTTTTTGCAAGAACACACTCTCTTGTGAAGAGTAACTATATTCTGGGGAACTCTGTCACACTCTACCACAGCAGAGGACAATATTAAATAGCATGGGTTATCTGCTGCTTACTTTCCAGAGACCTCTGATGCTATTTCAAGTCTAATCCTAGGTGTTGTTCACTGTATTCTGAATTCTCCTTGGAACCAAAAGTCACTGGCAGCAAAAAAAAAAATTTCTCCTGCTTCACTTCTCATTTTCTGTTCAGTTCTCTGAATTTCTTGCCCTCCGCAGTCTCCAGCTTGCTGTCAGGCATCTGGACAATGGAGCCCTCTCTGCTTTCAGCTCTACAATCCAGAATTGAGTGGCAATGGTGTTAAACCAGCAGCTCCCACACTTACATACACACAGGAGAGCTTATACCTAACACATCCTATGCAAGGCACACAGAATTCTAGAGCACCTTTCCAGACACTCACAGCGCATCAATTTGAAGTAAAGAGTGAGACTGCTATCCTAAACAAGCAACTTTTTATTTTGAATCCATTTTTTAAGTGCTTTTACACTTGATAAACGTTTTAGCAGAACAGTCAAAGAAAGCCAACAGATCCATCAATTTGACAGCTACATCCTTATCTTTAGCTGATTTTTTATATTTCTTTGCTATATAAGGGACCTGATCTTGCAATTTTTCAGAAAAAACTGTTATCAACACAGGGGTCACAACTGGACCACTTAACATTATATATTCTTTTTAGGCAAAAAAAAAAAAAAAAAGGCTCAACATAATGCTTTTCCTGCCTTTCTTTTCATTTGGAACAGAATAACATCCTTTGCAGAATCATCTTGTCTATGCTGCACATGAAGTGCTCAAATGCCATGAGCAGTAATGAATTCAGGGGTTTGCTAGTCAGAAGGAACAATGAACACATCATCTTCTGCCTTCTTCACTGAGTGTTCATGCTGAAGGGAAGAACAAAAAAAAAGGTAAGAGAAAATCGCAAAAATTTATATGTACATTGAAACTCTACAAGATAAGAAATTGCAAAGAACCTGGAAGCATATTTAGACTCAGCTCTTAATTCTCAAGCACCTACCCTGGAACAAGTACTTCAGGATGAGCAGCTCCCATGACACAAGTGCTCCTTTCTCAGCCCTGCTGCTCTTTGAGCGTCCTTATTCAGGAGCACCTGTGTCCCTCAGCAACTCAACACTCATAATGGAAACTTCTCCCTTTGGAAAGGCCCTGGATTTCCAACTTTAACTGCTAAAACATACAAGCCCCTGGTTTTCAGCATCTTTTTTAAAATCCCAGGCTCAGTCCACTGTGGTGACCACAGGCATGGTTGTTCCTTCAACACAAGGAGCTTTCTCAGCCCTGTGAAGTGCAGGCACATGCCATCCCACACATGGCAGTAATCCATCAATTTTACTGCCGAAATGCTGAACTCCCAAAGCCATCAGATTTGCACACAGACCTAGAACAGCAGCAGCAGCAAAAATACACATCCATATGATGGAGTGAAGCAGATGGAAACTAAGCATTGTATCAAAGTTAGCAAAGTATTGTCTTAATTTACAAATAATTATTTTAATTATTGTTTTAATTTACAAGTAAAAACAAGGGCATAAAGTGATTACCCTCTGGAGAGCTTAAGAACTACAACAGAATATTTAACCAGGATGTAAGTTAAACAAAAAAAGATTGTTCTTAAAAAAATCAGCCTTGAATACATCAAGGCTAGAAGTTAGCAGACCTAAAGAGTAAATGAGAGAAAGCATGCAAGGTGTCGTTAGACTGCAGAGTCCCTAGCCACAGGTTGTCATAGATGTGTAACTCCAAGGGCAAATGCATTGAGGGTCACAAACTACACAGAAACTGCTCCGGAAAGTGAACTTAGGAGAAACATCACTACCTGATGGCCCTTGTCTTCACCTTCTCCCCCAGGCAACTAGTTTGATCTCTTCCCCTTGTCAAACATTTCTTTCTCAACACTTTCCATGCATTAGGGCCAGAGCACTCAACAAAGAACAAGCCCCACAAATCAGCCAACCAAAGGCTTCCCCTCCCAGGACTTCAGGTTCATTTTCTCACTTCTGACACCAATCAGTCAGGCCAGAGCTCAGTCCCCCATCCATAGGGAGCTGCTTTTGTACCACACATACCATTGTATTCTGGACAGCGCTGGCAAAACCCTTTGTTGTTTCGCCCAGGGCTGAGTCAACAGATTCCGTTCTGAAAGAAAAACGATCTTAGCTGATTTTTCATTAAGCACTTACTGGTGAAGTTTGAACAAATATATTTACCACCAAAAATAAACCTGAGAATGGCAGGTTTTTACTCAGCATTTATGCCAGCCAACAGTGTCTTTTATACAGAAAATTATCACCTCCTTCCACCTCCTCTGACTCCTAGACACAGTCATGCATTGCACGTTGTTCCAGATCCTGGTACAGCTCTCCTGAGCAAGGTTCCTCTCCTGCACAACTTCCCATACAAAGTTCCCCCATTACACTCTAATTCCAAGTGAAAACCCTCACAAGGCTGCAAAAGCTCAATCAGTGGACACCAAATGAAGATGCCACACTAGGTTTAGAATCCTTTCCCATTATCAGCAAGGGTACCATCAGCCTAATGACCATCAGAGGACATGTGAGGATGCAGGACAGCTGGAAGAGACGTACCTTTCCTTTTGCTGGCTGAAGAATGTATTCAGTTTCAGCAGCTGCACATTCCAGAAATCCTAAAAAGAGCACAAAGAAGCCCTCTGTTACCTGGGAAGTGGCACCTTTTTGGGCTGGCACACAAGAAGCTGTACGCACCAGTGCGTCCTTCTCCATGGCTGCCAGCATTTGAGTTTCCCTCTCAAGGTTGGCAAGCTCTTCAACAACAGTCTTCCGCAAGGTCTCAAATTTATCCAGCCTAGTGATGGAGATAAGAAACAATTTTGCCACTTCAATGTGCAGTCACACAAGGTGGACAGCCCCTTTAGCACCAAACCTACCCTGAGGCAGAAGAAAATTTCACTGCTGAACTACATGGGGCAGATTTGTTCTCAGGTATGTCACAGAGCATGTGAATAGCTGCACCAAAGTCCCACTGCAGATAAATAGGGCTCAATAGCCTGTCCCAAACAGCAGTCAGAGGACTGGGATAGAGCATATAAACAAATTCCCAGCACAATACTTGTACTGAATGCTCTCCCAGGCTCCAGGGAGCTCAGCAGAGATTTTCTGTGCTAAAGACCTCTTTAAGGCCCCTTCCAACCCGAAACATTCTATGATTCTATCCTGATACAAACAGCCTCTATGGATTTTCCTGCCTTAGGTTTGATGTACAGGATGCTAGCAATTTCTAAACCTTATGAAGGGTTGTGGTTGCAACATCCTTATTGACTTGAGTTTGCCACCATTCCCAGCTGCGTTGAGGTAGGAAAACTTCAGCACAGCCCTGAATCCACTATCCTGTGATCCTGGTTAGATCCAAGTTACTTACCAGGCAAGCAAGCATCTCACTGCCATCTACTCTTATCTTCCACCACAAAACATCCCATTTTTTTTATTTTGGAACTCAAACTTCTCCATGTACCTTAATGACAGCAAATTCTGCTCATAGAGGTCCCATCGATAGCAGGGATTTTTTTACTTTAAAGGTTATTATTTCATACCCCATTTGATCTAAATCCTAAAAAGTGAATATGCAATGGATACAGAAGCCTGATACACTTAAGAGTACAATACAGGATGTAAGTATCTCACTTATACCAAATTCATAAATATTAGAATTTATTTTTTTATCTAGCTCCTATCTAAGAAATTCAGGATCTGAGAGATCCCTTTTCTTCTCCTCCACTTCATTAAGTCACAGCCTGTTTTTTTCTTAAAAGATTTAGAAATAGAAACTACTAAATTGATGACAACCAGAAGACAGTCCAAGCACTGCTCCATCAACTGTCTGTAACTCAAGCTTGCTTTACATGAAGTAACACCTCCTCTCCACCTACAAGAAAATTAGGGTCAATTCCAGGAGTTATACTTCTGAAACTCTTCTTGCATCAAGGGAAAAAAAAAAAAAAAAAAAAGACATACAAGTTATTTTGTGGTACAAACCATAAGTACAACATCCAGCCCTCAGGTTGGTTTTCACTATCAACCAAAATTGACAGAAAATTGAAGCTGTTTTCAGCCAGCACCAGACCACTTACCTGCACTTATGTATCTGGTACAGCTGGGCAGACAGGCTCTTCTCTGAAGATCTCAGGACATCCTGTGCGCTGATCTCAATCCTTTTGTACCGGGACTAGCCATGGGAGGCACAGTTAGGGATAGGCAATGGCCCAAGTCAAAACCTAGAAGTCTAGCTTGCAAAACATTCCCCTGGAAAACATATTCCTCTGCGGGAACTTGTCATTCATCTTAGCAGAAACCATTTTAAATCAAATTTAATCTGCAGTAAGATGACACACATCAGTGCTACAGATACAATCTGATTTAATTCAGTCACAGTAGCTACACCAAAAAGCCTCAATGTAACCCATGTGACTTCAGGGCAGTGTTGTGTTAGAAAAAACCAAAATTTTCTTTATGCCTTCCCTGTAGCACTTCTCAGAATATATAAGTTCTGTAGAATACTTCTAAGAGCTCCAAACTAACAGACACTGTTGCCAAAGCAATGTCTCTCTCGAACACCAACTAAAGATGGGATATTTGCACCAACTCTCCCTGAGATACAAAGGTAATTTCACATAACATGATCAATTGCCACATGTGCTGAAAAAGCTCACATTACCCAGAAATACTTCTTCAGTTGGTCAATAAATCTTTCAAGGGCAAAAATCACTTCTGAATCACTCGAATCTTCATGGAAAATCTTGGAAAAAAACGCATCATCTACACTATTGACCATTTCCTGACCTAGGAGGAAGCACATGCTCAGTTCGCATCATGCTGGAAGACATTCTGTAATATAAATCTTCCTGCTACTAAGGGATTGTCATTCATGAGAGCAACAACTTCCATTAGAGAGCTGGAATTTGGGGCTTGTTCTTCTAGAGCTCACAAGCAGGAGGGAAAGGAGCTCAAAAATCCCCAGAGAAATACTTTTTAGAAAGCAGCAGGGAAGGATAAGCACAATAGAGCAACACGACGAGCTATTTACAGATACTGAGGCAAACACACAGAATAAAACTAGAAAATAGTCAGGCCACCACTGCTTCTGTTTTCTACTTAGGCATTGCAGGGAAAGCCTGATCCTCTTGTCCTCAGAGTTAGCAGTATTTTGCAGTTACTTCACCCATTACCTGCATACTTTTTTTCCAGCCCCTGTGTTTGCTGTTTTTTTAATAACTCTGGAAAATCATACTCAAGAGTAGATCTTGTGGATGTTATGGAGCAGCTGACCAAGCGGAACCCAAATTTCCTTATTCACACCTCTACACACACAGTATCCGCTGCCATTGGCAGTGCAGCAATACCTCCTGCTAATTTTCACTTTTGGATTTTGGAGAAGTTGGCCTCTCTACAAATATATCTTTTCAAGATTCCATGTGACTATGATTTCTCCCACAAGAAAAGAAAAGCTGAAAGCATTTAAGCACTTCACCTTAATTACCAACAGGATTTTACCTTTCTCCATCTCCACCTCATCTTCTACTGACTCAGAGATTTTCTTTGGTGTATGGTTAATCTCAGAGGGCAGGTGATTTTCCTTCAAACTAGAAAGTTTAGGCTTTTTTGTGACAGTGCCACTCAGTATATCTAGAAAGAGAATAGAAGATTTTTCAAAAGAAATCTGTCCTTTTGCATGAGGTACATGACAGTGCCTGCTCAAGGAGAAACCACTACTGGAATTACCAATGCTTCAGAAATAGAGGCAGCCTCATTTTATGGTCTGGCATCACATAGAAAGTCTTCACCTGAAAGCATCTGCCCTTGCAAAAGCAGGGAACTAGCCTGACTAGTGTTGTACAGGTATTTGGAAAGCTTCCATGTCTCCATCTTAAACATGGAGAGACTTCCTTTCCTGGCCTTTTATTCTGGCCATCAAAAACCTCAGGTGTCCAGCTTCTTCCTATTCCCTTTTCCAAACCAAGCTCTCAAACTGATTATGAAGAAAATTTTTGAAAAGGATATTGAATCAATCCAAACAATCCAAATCAAAGCTGCAGCCTCTACTTTAGGGAAAATCTGCTAAAAACCAAAGAAACAAACTAGACCCCCATTCTTTTGTCTCACTGTGAACTTTTCTGGAACTCAGCAAGTTGTCTGTTTGACAAATCATCTCCTTGGAGTCTCCGTAGGGCAGAATGAAAGGTGGTGGGGCCCAGAACAAGGCAGACAGTAACACCAAGAGAAGCATCCTGGAGTAGATTTAGAGTTCACAGAGAGTCCAAATGCAGTCAGAGACCACACCTGAAATTCCTGAGCATAACCCTGCTTGTGCCTTTGCATGGCAACAACTCCTCTCCAATTGTAAGGCTGTACAGTGAACAGTGATAGAAATGAAGCCCTCAGCATCTACTGTCCCCCAAAATTAAACAGATGTGTTATTGCAGTGAAGGTGTATTCAGAAAATGCTGGACAGGTAAAAGACATACTGGGAACACAGACAGAGACAGCTCATGAGAAAAGGGATGCTTTTGCAAAATTTCAGTGACTCACTTCATAGTCACAACCATAACTCGGACTCTCAGAACTACATCAACACTGAAAATTATAAGGATGAAAACAACCTCATTGCTGCTTGACTTGCTTGAAGTTCAGTTGTTTCCAACCACAAAGAGAGTGTGCTGCACTTTTGAGTTAGTTTATGAAAGCTCAGTTTCACTTTAAAAAAAGATCCTGACATGCCACTTACCTATTAAAAAGCTACAGCAGTAATAAGCATTATCCAAGTCCCCATTTAACAAATGCTTATAGCAATGGCTTACAACCATGTTCTTAGGTATAAAGAAAATCAACAACTCAAAGGGATGCTTGTTTTGTTTAAACTGAAGTTGCAGTTCACTCTCAAAACACTAAAAATTATCTTTTGTGTATCTCTTGGGTCATTAGCTTGTAAATCTACAAAAGTCCCCCTATAGTCAAGGACAGGTTTTAAGAGATAGCAATGAATTCAGGAATGTATGTAAAAGCATCTTACCACAGTCTGTCATGATATACAAAACACAGAAACAGAATTTAGCAAAAAAAAAACCAGTAATCGCTAAAAAGTCACTGTTAAGTTGTATTGGAAAGAAAATAACAGCTCTGGCACCACCTCTTTCTGTGTTTAGCCAACTCTTCTGTGTTATCAAGAGTAACAAACCTGAGTCCTTCTCCTTGCTATTTTCTTCCTCTCTTGATAATTTGCCTGATGCACCAAGAATCTTCTAAGGAGAGAAAGGAAACAAAATAAGAAAGTACCCACCCTACAGACAAGCTGCCAGAGGCTTGTCTTTTTACAGACAACAAAGGGACACAAATCACTGGTTTCAGGCAGAGGTAGCCTGACAGCAGACTGGGAGGAGGCTAAGCACTGCATTCTGCACCTGTGTGGCTTTCTCCACATCAGTGGAAGGGTTCCTGGCAGGCATATCAAGAAGCACTGGACTCCCTGCAGCATCATCTGAGAGCACTTCATCTGTGTGAGAGATGAATAAATGACACAGGCAATAGAGTTTGAATCCTTTATCTCAATTTAATGACACAGAAAATAAAACCCAAGCCCTCTACCCTCTCCTTCATCTTGTCACACAGGGAAGAGGTGGTGGCTCAGATTCAGCCCAAAGGCTGTTTTCTTGGTGGCTGTCAGTTAAGTTCATTTTTTCACCTCTCAAGAGCACCAGCTTATCTTCTCCTTGTACAAGAGACTATCTCTACAGACGGTATCTACCCCTCATAGCCATCAAAAAGAAATAGCACAAGGCAAATATTTATGGAAAAAATGTGAAGAAAAAGTGGCAAAATCAGAAAGAAAAACCCACCACCAAAAAGTTCATCCATCCAAAAAGTACAGACCCACACATACCAAAACTCTTCTAATGCACTGAAGAAGATCAAAATAAAAATACCAGAAAGATTCAGAATGGGTAAATCATCTCTCTTGGAGCTAGATGCGCTTTCTTTCCTTTGCGTCTTCTTTTGAGCTCTTTCCCTTGATTTTCTCTTCTAAAACAAAACAAAGTCTAAGCCTTATTTAAACATTACTACAGAAGTAGGGGTTGGGGCTTTGTTTTGGAGGGAGAGCTTTGGATGATTGATCTGTTTTTTAAATACACTAAGAGTAGATATATACATAAAATATGCCTAACATACTGATGGCTCTATCTAGCACCAAGGAGACCTGTGCCCTATAGTTCAACATATGCAAAAGTTCTCCCTTTAGGCATTAGAGATATACATCTGATATTGTTTCTTATAAGCAGAATATAACCATTGTAGTTAAAAAAGAAAAGTTTTCTGGGGGAAAATAAAAGCTTTTAGTGTGACTACTAGTTCTGGAGATATTTTTTTTTCCCAGACTTTCTGTATTTCAAATATGTATATAAACATATATATATATATATATATACACACACACATATATATATTTGATATGCAGCATTTATCAATTTCTATGAGGTTTACCATGTTTTCCTAAATTCTCCTCCATTAGACCAAGAGAGTCACAACAGCACTTAGCAGACAAATCTATCAGAACATTTGAGAATGAAAATAACACCAGTTTATTTAAATCTCACTTATTGGTACACATTTTACATCCATGATGTTTTTTAAATCTGAGGCACTAAAGCATCACACCTTACCTTCTCTGGCTCATAGTCGCTGTCACTGCTTGAAGAAGACAGTGGAAGCACTGCAAGAAGAAAAGTTTCCCTGGTTACTGGCAATGTTAAGCATGTACTTTACCCAGTTAACTGGGTTAATCACAATGCAAACCTTTTCAGTTTTGGTCTTCTAGCCATTTACTATATAAAACTCCACAACACTTCCATTAAATGTCAAAAAAACACCTTTCTCTAACAAAGACAGATGCAAACATACACAAATCACTGCATCCAGAGCAGCCATAAAAGTAAAAAAAAAAAAAAACAGGCTCAGCATGTTGTCTGACAGTCCCCAAGTCCCAAGCAAGACAGTGTGTTGACACTGGAGTGAGAACAAACTGCCCTGGAAACCCCATATAAAGAATAATTTGAAGCTCAACCTTTCTTTTGCTTTTAAATCCATACAGAATCCAACAGCTACCTGAACAAGCATCATTTCTCCATGAGTGGGAGAGAAACATTCCACCTCATTCAATTTGATTTCCATTTGGTGGTCAGAGCAGCACACAGCCCTGGAGCATGGCTGCAGGGGAGGTCTGCTGCTGGTCAGGCCCAAGCAAAGAATACTATCAGAGATAATCACATCTGACACTCGGAGGATGACTGGCTTATTACTGCATAACAGGGGAGGAGAATGCCCTCGTCTGCAAATTGTGAGGATTTTCAAGGTTTACTTGCCAAGTCAGTGATGTTTCTAGGGAGGTGAGGAGGGGAAATCTGCAGGAAGAAGGTGTAGTTGCTTCAGAGAGATGTTCCTCCTAATGTGGTCAAGAGCACCAACAGAGCCATCAGCTCAAGACCCATGGGCTCTTCAGCACCATCACAGAGAGGGCTGCACCCACACAGTTTGTTTAGGTGCCAAACGTCCACCTGGACATTTGAACCCCAAATTGGGAAGGAGACAAGAGTCCAGTTCAAGTACAAGGGTGTGCATTGCATCTCCTCCACAGGGCACCCCCTTGCTGCTAGCTTCAAGCCTGCTCTCTCCCACTCAGGAAAGCCAGGATTTGGCCAAATTCTCCTTTTTCAAACCATCATCAGCATTTACTTTTCTGCAGCTCAGTTCATCCGGCAGAGCTAAGTGTCAGTAGGGGACTAAGCTTACCTTTTAATTTACTTCTCATCCTGGGTTTTTTTCGGGTATAGTCAGATTTTGGCGTTGCCTGTATCTGAGAGTTAGGAATCCAGCTTGTCTCACTCTGACCAGGGCTTGTATATTCATTATTGCTTTCAGAGAAAAGATGTTTCCTGTAACTGGACTAAAGACACAATTAAATCCTTTTCACTCAGAAGCCCTTCAGCCACTCCATTTCAGCTGCTACCAAGTTATCCCATTTCATCCTCCCCACATTACAACATGTAAAGCTGTGAAATCTGCCAAAACAGCCACAGACAGCTGTTGAAACAGATGTATAAAAACATCAAGAGGCAGATGCTTGCCTTTTGCCAGCATGGGGTTTTTACAGTATCCTTCTTGTCTCTCCCTCTCTGCCTAAAATAAGAGCTCTCTTACAAGGAGGAAAGCTTCAGTGTGTTTGAGCTGCATCCAGTGGCACATCAGGGAGGAAGAACAGGTAACACAGACAATTCACTAGCTGGTCTGGCAGTGATGGTGCATCCTGATCACCGCTTTCAAAATGACAAGAGTATTTAGAGGCCACCAGAATCACATTGCTCCACCTCTGCACTGGGTAGGCCTTAAACTTCAGTTTCTTTATGGGTTTGACAAATTTGTACAGGTAGAAATACACAGCATTCAAATAGGCAACAATCAAAGGATCTAGGGATGCAAAAGCATAGACAACCTACCTGCTTTCTCTCAAGACTGTTTAATGCCTTGCTCTTGCTTCTTGTTTCGTAAGTCCTGCCAAGTAACACAAAGACCCAAAATTAGAGTAGCAAACACAGCAATAACACACCACAGCATGGTGGAATGGGCACAGACAAATAGAGGTGGCAAGGGGCCCCTTAAGAGTTCAGCAGAAGAACCAAACTGTTAAAGAGCATGCAGTAGCCAAATTTTTCTTTGCCTGGATTTTGAAAGTAGCAATTCAAGGATATCTAGAAATCAGCACTTTTTAAAATAAAAACTAATCTGCATACATAGAGGTGGCAAGTCCCTGGAAGCTTGTTGTGACTGGAAGGCAGCCAAAGCAAGGCAGGGAGTTTAAGCATTTTTCAAAAATTAATTCAGTCATTTCTGCATATCGTCAGGAAAGGATGATGTTTAAGAGTTAAAATCTTACTGTCAAAGTCGACAGGAGTCACTATTTTCTCCAGTAATCTTTATATTCTCAGGTACTAATTTAAATATTGATATCAATAACATCCACAGATAGTATGGTAGCTAAGCAAGGAACTACTGTATTAGAAAAATCACACAGCCTTTTGGATCCTAACTTAAAAGATCTTAACTGAAGCTATGAGCCCATATTCACATAGCAAAAGGTTCATAAACACTGAGTGTATAATACTGTACCTCTGACTTTTTGAAGAATCTTTCTGGGCAAGAATCTTTCCTTTGGCTTTAGAAACCTGAAAGCAGAGAGTTGTCTTAGAGACCAGTTACCCCATAAAATACTCTATATATTGAAAATAGATCACAATTCAGAAGGGAAATTGATTACCATTCCTGCCCAGAAATTTCATTTTTTAATGGAATTGGATTTGTTGAATGAAACAGTGTCACAAATTATAACAGATAAACAGTTGAACATTAAACAGAGTTATTTTCTTTTTTCTTTGCCTTATGAATAATGATCATTTTAAGCACTACCATCAATCAAGAGCAGCACCAGCACTGTAAGCAAGGTGCATGGCCCCTGGACAGCTCTGGGACAAGGGCAGGGTGTCATGGAGCAGGGATTTATGCTGACACCCAGTGGCAGCAGCAAGGATCAGGCCATGTCCAGTTTATAATAAAGAGAAATTTGGGGTGTTCCATTCAGCACCCATTGCATCACAGTTAGCAGGCGTCAGTAACAGTCCCCACATAGGAAAAAAGCTGAAAGCAAAGAGGTTTGTCCAGCACAGCCACCTAGATTGAAGCTGTCAGGAGCAAGTTCAAACTTGCTAGGAAAGCCCACTCTGGGCAAAGTTTCAAGCAAAGTGATTAATTTTTATTCCCTTTTTTTTTTTTTTTTTTTTTTGAGAGTCTACAAATGCAAGTTAAGCAGAATTTCCAACAAAAGTTTTGTGAGGAATGCATTTTAACCAGGGATTCCCAGTTTGCAAAGCACAGCTTGAAGGGGATTTCAGTCTCTTCTATTTAGCCTAGGAGGACAACGTGGATGCTCAGCAATCTGCTTTTGATATTCAGGAAAGCACAGAAGTTGGCCTTCAATCAGAGACATCCCTTGGCCTCACTGAAGCAACAGCTCAAATGCCTGTTGGCGTTATCATGCATTACCCACCACAAAATTCACACAGCGACGAGCATTCTTGCCACTAAAAAAAAATCCATTTCCACAACACAAAGAATAAAAAAAAACCCCTCAAGTTCTCATTTATCTGTCTTGCTACAACATCGTGTCCATCCTTACAGCATTTCTGCAGTAAATTATGTCCCCTACTTCAAGCTACTACCCCATTAGGCACTGAGCTTCTGCCTCGAGTTTACCTTTTTGTGACTTGAGGAGTTTGAGCTTTCAAAATCATAGAGGTCCTTCCTGCAAATCAACATAAATATGGCAGTGATGTACAGTAGTGAAGAATCACCCTATAGAATTCCATTAAGGCTAGGGAGGTGATAACGTTTTTTTTTCTAAGCCCCCTCTCCTCAAATACCTTATATGCCTAAAAATACTGTTTTCTAAGCTTCTAAAAAATGCTTTCTTCTTTTCTACTTAGTCTTTTTGCTGTCTTGATTCCTGCTTTTTTAAATAGTAACTGTTTTAAGGAATATTCCAAACATAGAAATTAACCTATCCCTGTTTATGTAGAGGGTATTTTGTTCTCCCATCGCCCATAGTAGTACATGGTAGGAAGAAGTAATGAGTGGAAATAAAACATCAGCAGCATTTTAAAAATTCCTTTTAATTACTTTTTGAAAATTCTAATATTTGATATTTGTTCTCTAATCTCTTCTCTGTGTACACCTAGATCTTGTTTTCATGTCCTCCAACATTTAAACTTAACTGTAGTTTTGTAGCTCTCTCCAAATCGTAACTATTTCTAAAACAATACTACAACAACTGCTCAATATACAGTACATCTTCTTTTTACTAGTAAAAGAATGAGAAGACTAAAGAGCTGAGATCCTCGCCAAAGCTTCCCGAAGGAAGGAAACCTTCATTTCCATGTGAAACACTAGAGGGAGCAGAATGACCAAGTTAAGTTCCTCACCTCTAACTTCTACACTGCTGCTCCTGTTTTAAAACAGGTATTTGCTGTATCAAATTGTCTTAAAATAGACAAAACAAAAAACTTCATTAACCCTGCATCAAGTTTTCCTATTCTTACCTACAGTCAGTCAAAAAATCATCTAGGCACTTGGGGTTTTGGGAGGTTTTCTGAGCTAAGAGACACTGGGATGAAGCAGGACTCCCATGGAAGCCCCAGAACAGGAGCAGAGATCCTCACACACAGTTCATTTGCCCTCCTGCCCAGCAGCAGGCATTAAACACAACACTTGGCAGAGTGTAGGAGGAAGGCCCAACAAGGCAGACTTTTAGTGCCACGGGCTGCATACAGCCCCTAAACCTTCAAGTGTTTCTTCCTACAGTGCCCTTAGCTTTAAGTGCAAACAGATGTGGGGGTGCAAGGGGAGAAATTGAGAAAGAGGATTAGCTAGGGTTATGTTTCTGAGAGCTTTATCACTTTGGGCACCCAAAGGGCCCTACAGAGACAAGTTATGACCCTTCATAGCCTTATACTTTTTTTCCTGCCTGTTCTAGATACAGTCAGCCCCCCACCCTCCATGGGGACGCCCTTCCTCCCCGAGTGCTAGAAAAGGTCTAAATGACTTGGTGCACCAGTTCTTGCATGGGCACAGAGCTTGTGTGTCATACCTGCCTGCAGCACTCTTCTCGTTTTTCTTTTTGGTGGTAGTGTCCTTTGGTAAACGAGAGAATTGCAGGATCTAAAACAACAATACCTAAAGTCATGTTCTGATTCTAGAGCCTTGAAAAAGCAGAGAAAAGGCGTGCCAGGAAACTTCCCTCCTCCATCTACAGCAATTTTTCCAGGTCTAACTGTTGTCTGTGGTACTTTCCTACCACAAAGTAAGGGATTCATAGAGCTGAAACTGAGGGGTCAAGAGGGTGAGAGAAAGTAGCTCAAAATCTCTGAATTCACTGCAGAGTGGGCAAGTGCTACAAAACAACTAGCATCAAAAATATTTTAAAAAAATCTGAAATTAGCACCTGGAAACATAAACCAAAGAACAAGTCTAAAATGTGATTTCTTATATAAGTATCTAAACTCAAAACATTGCTTTGGGAATTTAATTTTTCTCACACAGTGCATTGACTTACTTGTTTTAATACATGGACACACCAATAGAACTTGCCAAGTGCAACTACAAGTGACTCTCAGTTACTTGGTAATTTACCCAAGTTGCAAATTCTTACATAGGAGAGTCATTAGAGGCCAAATACAAAACTGAATAAACACATAGGTAGATTGCCAAAGCTTGCTTCCATTCAGGAAGCAAATATTCCCCCTTCAGGAAGGTGTGCAAGTCTTGTGACACGCAAGTACATCCCACACACCACTGCACTCCTGGACACCAGCACAGCACATTGCTTTGGGGCTGTCTGTGTGCTGAACAAACTCCAATGAGCTTGAATCACTTGGCTGGGCCCCTCTAGGATGAGGCTGGCAGCTGTTGCCTCTGCAGCTAAGCAGCACAGCATGTCAGGTGTGACACTCTGTGGGCTCAGGACACTGCTTAAAGGCACGAGTAGGTCAACCCATCCCAGCTTTCTTTTGCAGCTCCACCAGAATGTCTCTTCCCTACCTTGTATCTATTCAGTCAGGGGAAACCCCAAGGCACACATACCTTCGGTATCTGCCCATCCATAGGTTCTTCTTCTTCGAGGGGCTTCTCACTGGGAACAAGAGAACACGTGAGGGAGCTGTTCATCTAAAGACCAATACCTTTGTGAAATACTAAGTGGGGGGGGGGGGGGGGGGGGGGAGCCAAACTTGGACCAATTAGCACCAAAACAATGGTTTAATGCACAGCAAAGAAAGGTAATCAATAGCTCTACAGAAGTCCAGCTCCTTAACTACAAGAAATCCTATCCTGCAAAGGTCTGGGAAAAAAAGGTGAATTCAAGCCAAGGTGAATTCAAATTCACATAATCTATCACAAAGTCATGGTGCCCATTAGGAACAACCTCACATTTGGCAAGCTCAGGTTTCACAGCTGAAGTTTAACTGCCTGTAAATCAGCTGTGGGCTCACCTTACATTTGGACTAAATCCATGGTTAAGAAAAAAGTTACACTAAAGCAGCTGCCAATCTAGTAACTAAATTGTTCAGCAACTCCAAAGTACTCTAACTCCAGGCAAACAGCCCTGATGTCCAGGTGGCAAAACAGAATTTAGTAATTGATGGAAAAACCTCCAAATTACATACATTAAAATCCCAGAAGAAAAAAAAAAAAAATCAAACATACACACAGAAAAAACCCACAAAAAGCTCACTTTGCAACTTTCTGTCTGCAAAACACTCACCTAGGCTCAGCTTTCATCCCTGAAGATGGAGTTTTGGACTTTTTTCCTGAAGAAAGTAAGGAAACTATAGTTTTACCCTGAAACTTTATCTGTTTTTGCTGTAAGACCCACAAAAGAAGAGCCTTCAGCATGACAACTGGGTCAGACTCAAGGTACTGAAGGGAGCCATGCCTGACCTTGGTTAGCACCTTGCGGATCAGTCTGCTGGCTCACTGTAACCATGGCAACACCAAAGTCAGGCATTTTCTCCTGGAAGACATGAAACCATGAACAAAACATGCATATGATCAATAAAAAAGTGGGGGTTTCTACAAACAGATTTTTTAGTGGCTGCCTGTGGCAAGAGCTGCATGGCAGATTCATCACTGTCCACATGTAAAAGCCTTTTTAGCTGTAAGTGATACTATGGGTTTCTCACTAAAAGCATCCCACTGTCCCCTTACAAGAGTAAGTAGTTGTTTTTTTTTTTAAAGCAATTTTGCCAAAATTGCAGCTCCGGAGATAAGTATTTGAGCTGAAGAGATACAAACCAGTTTTCTTCGAAAGAAGGTTTTAGTCACACTGTAAAAAAATAAGACTGGAGGAAGTGAAGAGGGGCACGAGGATTGTTCCATCATGCACCACTTACGCCTTCAGTCCCTGTTAACTGCTGTCTGTGCGGAGAGGTTAAGCTGTCTTTTTGAGTCTCCGCGTTTCCAGAGTCTGAAGGATGTTTCCTCCTCTGTGAGTTAGAGGGCACAGGTGTTTCTGCAGAACAGCAACATGGGTGAGAACGTCGTTGCAGTAACTGAACACACTCACTACCCCTCCTTTCCATTCCCACAGATGCATGCATAAATTGCAGCAGTGCAACCTTATAGGCACGTCCCAAGCTCGCATTTAACAGAACAAACCCAAGTATCTTTAAAGTACCCGGTGAAGAATTGCAATGCTAACAAAAACAACATATAGGTTCATCAATACTGGATGAACACACACAAGTTTATCACCTTGCTGCTTATATTGCTACATTGACTCAAACTCTGGAAGACCTGGAGCAAGCCTCTGTGTCTGACTAAAGCAGGGGGATCTTCCACTATCTCTATTTTCCTCCACTGAATCTCTATCAGGCACCGCAAAATTTGTTTCAATGCAGATTAACTACCTTCTGCCCTTTGTATTCCCCGACTGCTTCAAGTAGCAGTGTCCACCTTGCACCTCTGTGTGCTCCAAAGTGGGCACTGACAAAGGAACCCCTAGCTCACCTGCATCTCCAGAAGCTGGGACTTCCATTCTAGCTTATTTTAGGCTGTAACTGGAGGAAAATCGGAAGGACTACTGAAAAAGCTACTGCCCCAGACATTTAGGGTTGGAAGGGGCTCTTTCAAGTATTCACCTGGAGAATTCTGAAATGCACAGGAACTTAGAGGAAAGTAAAAACTTATTTTTAATGCTGTCACAGAAAGAATGCTAGCTATCCTAAGAGCTCTTAAACTTAATTTGTTTTAAAGACAGTGGGTGACAGCAGTAGGAAGAGCTGTGATTTCACAGCCTTAGAAGATGTGGAAATATTTGCCAAGTAAATTACACCAAGAAAGGATCCACACAAAAAGTAATCAAGCTAAAACCTGAAATACAGCCAGTTTTGGAACAAGGACAAATCCCAGCCTTCAAAGTTAAAAGACCACCATACAGGAAAAAAAAAACAGCTTCCAAAAACTTCTATACCAAAGTTGAGCTGAGAAAGCATTTCCTGTTTAAAACAAATTTTGACCTCACACACCTCCTGCTTTTTTGCTATAAGCAGCTTTTCCTTAAGGCTGTGACCTACAGTTTGTAGGGACTTACAGGAGAATTTCAGAGCATGAGAAGGAAAGGAGTTATTCTCTCCTTTTCTTGACAAGTGCTGGACTTAGACCTTCCTTTGGGTCAGACACCGAAATGACACATCTGTACTTCAGGCTCCAAGTTACCTCAACAACTACTGCATTTAGAACATAGTAAAATTCTGCCAAATGATCCTGGAAAAAGATGCCTTGCAGGAGATGTTCACTGGCAGCACAGGAAGCATCAATGTTTGATGATGGAAAACTTACTGTGCCCAGTTCGAAGAAACACAGAGCACTGGCTGTAAGGTGGTGAGAATATGGAAATAAATGCTATTCCAGGTGCGGCCAAGAGCCTGTCCTGCCTTAAGGCAGACAACTACTTTTGTAGCTGGGGCACACACGGAGACAGCCCTGCAGCAAAAGGTATTTACAGCAGCAGGTCACCTCCTGCAGAGGAGCTGGGCTGCTGCTCACCTTTACCCACAAATAGGGATTGCAGGTGAGCACCTCTGCTCCCGCAGCTGTTCTTCCACAACAGCTCCAGGCACCTCCAAGGCATCATCACTGCACTTGGGGACAAGGGCTGGAGCACATCATTCACTAGCACATCACCTTGTTCAGAAAAATCAAGAAGTTGCCTCCCTGAAGGAAGCTTTAGTAGAGGCTGCCCCAGCATATGCACCCCACTGCACAGAGAAGAGCTTGTTAAGTGCCAAGATGCAAGCACTGGCTCATCAGAGAACCTGTGCTTTCAGGAGGCCAAAGGCACCCACATGGCATGGCCAAACCAGAAACCAGGCAAGGCAGAGGGGAGGACAAGAGGCTGCATCCCACCACACCTGCAGATGGAGGCACAGTTCTGCACATCAGAGGTCAGCCAGCAGCTGAAATGTGCCTTGCCAGGCCACCTGCCAGCACACAGATCCTGTCTCCTTGAGCATTCCCCTGCCACCCCAGCAGCACATACATGGCCATGGTGCCCAGTCCTCACTCCCTGGGCTAGAGGGACTCAGCATCTGCCACAAGCAGATTTACCAAGCTCACAAGGCAGGAATAGTAGAAGACTGAGCTTGGGCATTGCTTGTTTTTTCTGTTGTGAGTTTTTTTTTTTTTTTTTTTTTTTTTTTTTTTTTTGTTTTAAGTGAGGTTAACTGTAAGCTGTGGACTACAAGTGAAAATTATAACTGGAAAACAGATATTTAAATTTAATGAAAGAACACAATAAAAAAAAAAAAATATCACCTGTTTCACTCTGCATGGTTTCCTTCCCAGAATGGACAAGCTCATCTTCAGACTTGACTATCTGTTGATATGAATTAATCGCATGTGAAAGTGGTCTTGAAAAGAGTAGCCTTTATCTAGTAAAGTCGGCTACTTAATACAAAACTAACAGTTGCTAATTGCCAGCAACAAATCAGTGGATACTAACTGAGTTATCATTTGGAAAGGTCTTAGCTCCTTTAAGGGCAAATGACAGCCACTATATTATGGTTATTTACTGTCATGTAAGCTTTTCTTCAAACACCACAGACTGTGGATGAATTACAAAAAAAAACAAACTATATTAGCATTTGGGGAAAAAAGAAAAAATCATACAGAGTTTATGGTCTTTTGCATTAGCTAATAAAAAATCCTGAGATTTTACAAGTACTCTATTCTTTGTCCTGAACTCCTATCTACAGTCAGTCTACAATATGTATTTTTCAGCACAACTCCAGGTTTTTGGGTAACAATTTGGTCACCCTGTGCAATGTAACACTTGGAGCCATATGTGAGAGCATCCTCATATTTAAAGTTATGCCACAAGCTTTATTTTCTATTTCAGAAACTCAGGAAAAGTTATAACACAAGGAATTAATTAATAAATCATTTAACCTTTCAGTTTTTAAACCATAAATTTGAGTACCTTAAACTTCTTTTCTAAAACATCTAATTTCTCTTTCAGGCCAAAGCTTAGAACATCTCTTTGTGGAGTGTCATAAATCCACAGTGGGAAAAAATATATAATGAAGAGAGACAGAGGAAATAAAGAAACCACAAAACACTAATCACACAAATCTGAATGGTTTTGTCCAGTGTAAAATATAGTTAAGAAAAAATCCCACATATTAGAGCTTACCATCAGTTTTTCATCTCCCAGGACTTTTCTAAGTGCACCAAGTATTTCAAACTCAGCACTGAAAACCAGTTTGAATTTTAATGCTGCTCTATTGTAAAGAGGAGCAGATCTCTTCAAAGAAATTTTAACAATCTTTTGTCTATCCTTCTCTGTGTAAAAAAACCAAAACAAAACAATCAATCAATTACATTTGTTTTAGATCAAAACCTTCTTCTGTTAACCCAAAAACGTCTGAGCAATTGTTTGGGATTTTTAAAACAGCCTTTTACATCTTGCCTGTTCATTTCCAGTTACTCCGTTTGCTCATTTTTTTTTCCCCAGTGAGTCTTGGTTATTCTGTTCCCCAGGGCACCTATAAACTGACACCTCAAGCTGTCCTGCTTGGGTAGGGGCGGGGGGGTATTGTGCGGAATGGCCCCACACAAGTCCAACAAGCAGAGCCAGTGCAAGATGACCAAGAACAAGGCAGAGAGGGAGGAGAATAGGCAGGAACACCTTGGTGATGGTGAGATTTTAGGTTTACACCATGTGCCTCATGGATCCCCAGTCAAATAAGATAATCTTGTTGGGAACATCTCACCCGTCACACTGTAGCTCTTGACATTTTCTTTTGACAGCCTCACAGAGACCCAAAGTTTTCCCTTTGAAAAAAAAGCCATCATGTCAGAAGGGTTGAGGGAGTGCCCACTGGCTTAGGCTAACCCAAAGCCACCTGGGCTTTGCTGTTACCGTATCACAATCCACATAGAAAGTCACACTCTGGCTGCCAGCGTTGAAGTCAATCCAAAACTCCTCCAGGTTCTTGTCCGATGGCTTCATTACCTGGTGAAAAGGAGTGGCACTGTTGCTCCCCAAAAAGGCCCACAACTGCTATATCAGTCACAATTTTCTTTAATGAGAGAAAACTGGAAAGTGCTACCCTACATAAACATCCATACACCTTCCAGAAACAAGAGTTCAGATGACACTGGGGGGTGCCAGCCCTCTGCTCACCCAAGCACACCCATTGCAGACGTGGCTCTACTTCAGCCATGGGAGCAGAAATACACAAATGCTCGCATGATTGTGCCAGGAAAGAAGCTGCGGAAGCTGTTTCTGAGCACTTGAAATAAGCAGGAGCAGTGGAACTAATTTCCATCTACATGGGTTTGATTCAATATGACTGTCAGGAATGGTGCCACTGTTCATTCAGTTGAAGACCAGTGAAGCAAACTGCAGGATATGCAACCCTTCTCCAGGGGCATCAGGCTAATCTTGTTTTCTGGCAGTCTGGAAACAGCTCTGCCAGAGGACTCTCTGCTGTCCTGTCCTCCTGTTTCTTTTTAGAACTCTCCTCTGTCATCACCATGAAGAGAAGCTTTGCCTCTGTCACTTGGCTCATACAACAGCAAAGTCAGCAGCATTAATTTGGGAGCTAAGTGACAAACAAGCAAATTTCCCAGCTAGAAAAAGGTTACACTCTACACTCCAAGAAATTGAGCTCTTCAATGAAAAAGAGGCAGGGGGAAAAAAACCTCAAACATTTACCACAGAAAGCAACATTTCAACAGCTATAACACTGTAGGGAAGGTGTCAGAGCTTTAAGGGCTATTACCTCCTTCCCACCAGCAAAAGCAGATATGCAAGGAAATGTGTAGACTCTGGAAGAGAAGCAAACTTCACATGATTTATTCAACATTAAAGTCTGACCGCAATTATTTTATTTTTAATAAGATTAGTAACCAATCTTACTGTTCAAAGAATAAGTTAAAAATTTCTAAAAGTAAATTAAGCTTGGATAAGCTAGAGACTACAGTATTTTAGCAGCGGAGCAATATCTTCATTGAGCTTACCTTCAAAAGAATCACCATAAAAATGCAAAAAATTTACTTCTTAAAAACAACTTAATTCTTCACATGTGATGTAAAATATTTTTTTTAATATAAGTCAACCCATTTTACAATTCTATTTATTCCCCTCTGCAGTAATTATGCCACCAATTTATTCTGTTGGTTCTCAGCTTACCTTTTTTTTTTATCTCCAAGCCTTCCATTTAATAGATTAAGAAATTTTCTGCAGTCCTTCAAGACAAATGACACATTTTTTTTAAAAAATCAGGCTACTTTTCCTTTGCAAATATTTATTCTATTGTGTAGAATAACTATTTGCTATGCAACATCTACTGTCCAGTTAAAAGCTTTAAAGTGGTCAGTGGAATGCCAAAGACCACTGGGAAGAAACCCTCAATCTACTACAAAAGGTTAGACCCAACTTAAAACCAGTAAGAACTCAAATAAAAACCCCACAAATTAACTTATTTATGCATTGTTTATATTTTTTTTACTTTTTTATAGGTAAAATAACTTAAAAATAGGTGCTATTTTAGCAATGTGTCATTTAATATTTACCATATTAATTTAAAAATGGTAAAAGATGCCATCCACAAATAAATATGTGTATTTATAAAATCAGTTTTGTAGGAACTGCTTGCAAGGACACCCTGGCTTAACTCAACCATATCTAGCCCCTATACAGACTTGTCAAGTATGTTGCTTTCAAAATAAGGACCCTCACCGTGTCAAATTCTTGATCCTTGATCTCTTTGAAAGCTTCAGCAAGATAGTTATCGTCAAACAAGAGGTGAACAAGGTCATCCCTCCACCTTCTTGGCAAAAACCTACAAACTGCTTCTAAAAGGCCAACCTGAAGGTCATAATCTGCAGGGTAATCATAAGCACAGGATAAATATCGTCCCTCTGGCATAACCACGGGTTATAGCATTGCTACTCCTGCCATTTTACATTACACGGTCACATCCATCCTCTAGCCTTGGTTTCCCCTAGGAGAACAGGGCAGAGTAACAGCCAAGTGTTGGCTCAGGCATCCTCAGCCCCCCCAGCTCAGCGAGATCGAGGTACAGAGCACTGCAAACCACAACACACGCGACTGCACTGGGAGATGTGCTTGGGGCACAGGAAAGGGATGGGAGCAGAGATTCATCACTAACCCACTAGGATCAGGCCACATTCCATATACCATGCCAATACTCTACAAAGTGCTATTAGTAGAAGAAAACAAAAAAAAAAAAATTCACTCAAGAGGCCATTAACCTTGTCAGTTAAATTTTGTCCACATCATGGCAAAGCAATTCAAATTTAATTTTTTTAAGACTAACAGCCAGCATATTCTGTAAACACATATATAAAGCCAATCTAATTACTTTTCTACATAAATCAGTTCAGCCTGCCTGATTAGTCAATATCCACTGCTAATACCAACCAGAATGAGCTAATGCATTGCTGCATTTAACTTTTTTTATATTTTGTTAACACACATTTGACTTGCCTCCTTTAAAAAAATCAACCCATGACAAGGAAATATAATTTAAATTATAATTCATCTATAATAAATAAACAGATGAGGTAAAGCTGGAGAACTTACCACCAACCTCCAGCACAGTTGCTACTAGGTCTTGCCTGAAACAACATAATGCCACAAGTTAAAAGGGAAATAACTAACTCCTAATGCAGAGAAGAGGGTATTTAGGTACAGAAACTGGAGGGAAAAATCACTTACGTGAGCAAGCATATATCCTCAGAGAGAGGGAACATCCTTTTCAGTTCCCATGGGACAGCTGCAAGTATAGTGTTGAGGGTCCTCAAGGCCTTTCCGCCCCCACAAAAGGGGTAGAAAATGAAGGAAATAAATCGATAACATAATTTCACATCTTGTTATCTAATTACAGAAACTTTCACACAAATATTGCCAATTTCCTCCTCCTAGTAAGAATCTTACCTCCAGATGCAGAGCAGAGCAAAGATTTGATTCTGTCACTAGGCACCCTAGTTCAGGCAAAAATGAATTCACTACCTCTTTCTTCCCTAGAAAAATAATTTGAAAAGTACAGCTAGAAATGGGTGGTGTCCATATAAAAATAGTTGAAGCAACAACAGTTTGTCGTGTTGAAGGAATAAAAATATCCCAGGTGTAAATTCATTTTAAGACAAAGCTTCCCACCATCTAAGCCTAGATAGAAAGGGGAACTGGTAACTTCCATCTGAAAAAAAAATGCTCCAGATACACTAACTTCTGACCTGGGTAACTATTTAAAGAGGCACAAAAAGGGGAAGCTAATTACTAGCCACTAGATAAAATCTGAATATACAGGTTTTGTCAAAGTCAACAGAGCAAACCAATAAAGCATTAACCAGAAGATGCTTGTGCCACTCTGCTCCCACTAGATTAAGGTAAAAGGACAAATAAGTACACATTAACTGACCTACAGCGCAATGCTTCATTTTTACATGGATTGTGAGCCTGGATGTCTGGTCACATAGATATTTTCTGAAAGCACCTGCTCCTCCCCCCACCCTAATGTAAAACCAGCTGAAGCTACAGAACAAAATTTTGCTGCTGAAATGAATGAGAGACAGACATCTCTCTGCTGAGTCCAGAAGGCTATACTGTTGAGATGGTTGCCTTCAGCAAGGGAATGACATCTGATGCCAGAACAAACAGATGTGCAAGAACAGACTGTTTAGATTGAACCCCTTTCAGAATCCACTTACACTAATCAACTGAAATGCTTGATGCTGACCATTTAAACAAGATAACAGAGATAGATTTTTCAGCATGTACATAAACACAAAAAGAAAGAGAGAAAGGGTTTGTGCTCCAATACAAATGTTAATGAGAATTAACTGAAGAGAAATCAGTTGGAGAATTTAAAAAAAATATTACAGAGAGGAAGAAGTAGAAAGCTGAAGAGAAAGGGGACAGAGTTCAAGGAGAATCAAAAAATATGCTCCCAAGATTAATATTCATGATATTGAAGAATGGAAGGAAAAAAAAAAAAATACATACCTTCATAACTGCATTTGCAAATCACCTGATGGAAAGAGTAAAAGAAGCCTTCAGTAGCACACCACCATCCAAGAACAGCAGTACACAAAGTGCCAAGCTGTTTATGCACACCTTCCTCACCCCACAACTTTCAAATGCTAAATTACATAAAACAGTATGTACCCACATCAGAATAACATAAAACACTAGCGTACCCACATCAGAAAAAGCCACCTGATCCAGCTATGTCACATATGGTCACCCTGATCATACAATATGCAGGGAGGGTAAAGGTAGACAAGCATCCAATTCCCCCAGGGATTTCAGGGTGTTGAAGTCCCTTGAGGAAAATTACAAACAACTCCATAACACAAAACACTTTCTCCTCCACAGTGAAAGCATGTGGAAGAAACGTAGCAGGAAGACATAATTCAAAATAAATTCCAATTTTTGGGAAAATAAATGGGTATTTTATAACTTCAAAGTGGTTAGTACATAAAGAAGGAAGCTTGATTTTGCTCAACTATCTTTTAGCAGAATTCCCAAAAAGAACCATAGGTACTGATATGAATTCTGATGCACAAAGTGACACAGTTCCAGTAAGCTATAGACAACAAGACTGGGAGCAACAGCTTGGGGGCCAAAAAGCTAAAAAGCATTCTTGCTATTACAAATGTTATATCACTAGGCCTCTAACACCCTTAAATTCATGAATATTTAAAGTTCAAACCTAAATGAGAGTTGTAAGCAAGCCAGATCATTCTTTAGAATTAAATAATCTGTTTCAAACAGAGTAGGAACAAATCGCCAGGACCACCTTAGCAGACATGCTTGCACATGAAGTACAGTTCGGTGTTAGTAACTTGTGGGTTTTAAAGACAGCTTCAGCTCACAAGCTTTTATTTACAAAATGCATCAGTATTTCTTGCAAATTTTTCTACAGAAACAAATTCTTCAAGCTAGAAAATGAGAAAATGCTTCTCCCAAGTGTGTCAGCCAGACGTCAGCTTGGAGCACACTCCTAGACACTGCCCACCCACACCACTAGGCTGCATCCCAGGCACAGCCTGAGGGCACCATGAACGTATTTCTTTTCTAACAGGAAATTCTTTGTGAATAATAGCTATCTTATCCCATAAAGGCAACCCTTCTGTCCCCTTAAATGCACAAACATACCAATGCAGAATCAAAGAAGTCTTCAAGCATTAAGACCAAAAATTTATTCTCATTTGGGTCGATGATGGTCACAAACGCTCTTGCTCTTTCAAACCAAGATACCAGGTAAAAGTTAAAAAAAAAAAAGGAGTTAAAAACTGAGAAGGGGAATTAATAATCTTAAATTATATATGTCTGCAGGAAAACCTTACAGAGTTCTTTATCTTTTAAACTTCAGAGTCATATACTGTGTCAAAAACTACATGGCTTTAAGGAGTTCAAATTTTGCTAGGAGGACGTGAAAAGTGCCATTTCCCCTTCCCTCTCTAGCCCTTCCTTTTATCCTCCTTTCTTGTCCAAGGCACCCACTCATGGTGCTCAGACACAATACACGCTGTTAGTAGCACCAGAACTACTACAGACATTTCTAGAAGACATCAACTCACAGCAAAATACTGTATAATTTTTTCAAGCTTTTTCAAGGTAAATATTTTATTACTTCATGGTTTTAAACATTGCATAAGATCACACAAAAATGATGAACTAGAAATCTAAGTTTCACTGAAAATACAGAGCTCAGACTGGAAAAAAATTATTAATTCATTTCCATACAGGAATTTTGAGTAACCCTGAAAAGCATAACTACAAGGCAGGAATACAACATTTTGGACTGAGGACTCTCAGTCAGCTCTCTGCTAACAGAGAGCATGTGCTAGCTGTTCCCTGCCAGTTACACCTGTGTTAGACCCAGGTGTTTCTTGTCTTCAGCACAATTTCCTTTCTGCTACTACAACTATTACCAGCTGAAATCAATATAGTTGTAGAAGATAAAACACAATTGCAGATTAAATGCATTTGGTTTACTATATAACTAGAGAGGGATCTTCATAAAGAATATCTCAGATTTTAAAAATATAAATGCACAAATTACTCATTAATTCTATTACTAAAACTATATTTTGCAGGAGCATTTAAAATGGATTTAGAAAGTCTGTATCATTTCAGTAATGGGACTTATAGAAATTCATCCTCTCCTTCCGCTATCTGCTTTAAAAAAACCCAAACAACCCAACCCTTGAAATCAGGTAGTAAGTGAAGCCATAAAATTGGCTGCTACACCAAAAGCAGTAAGAGACTAAGCATTTCTTCCCCCACTCAGTTGATGCAAATATTAAAAAAATATTTTGTTTCTGTGAGGCCACCAAGCCATCCTCTAGTTTTCACTTCCTTGGAGATGTTTCTGATGCAAACAACCTTAAATCACATTAGTAAATTGTATACAGTATTATACTCATCTTCACTACCAGTCCTTGCTCCATAAGCAAGCTCTTCTGTTTTCCAAGATCACTTTTAAGGTAGAGCTGAATACATTTCAGCAGCAATGAAACATTCTTGAATTCATTCTTGTCCAGCTCCTGCAGAAACACAGAGTGCTGTGCATCATTAGCCTGCTACCCTCCGAGTTGGCTGTTAGGAGTTGAGATTATTTATGATACTTGCCTTTCTCAGTGCTTTGTCCAGTTGGTTAAAGAGAGACTCACTGTATCTCTGGGGAAGCTTTACTTTCATCTCTTTAAACAGTTCATCTATTTTTTTAAACCCGTTCCCTTTAAAGGCATCAATGAGCAATGATTCGAGCTGCAGAGGGAAGGGAAGGAAACAATTAGTGAATAAAATAAGCAAGCATTAAAATTGTAGGCGCACTAATTATGATAAAATACTTGTAATGCTATTTTAAAAGTTGCAAGTTTCTGTTTGTTCTATATTGTTTATTTCTCTACTTTCATTTTATTACTACATCTGAAGTGAAACATCAGTCTTAATGTCCAAAAGAGACAGAACCCTTGAAACAGAATAACTATAAAAGACACCAAGTAAGGAAATAAGCAATTTAGTATAGCCAGTTTCTAAGTCCAACAACTATTACAATAATTTCTTCTCACTTACTAAAGAAAAGATTAAGAGGATTACTACACTTCGCACATTAAAGAAAATTACTAAAAATTCTGCGTCATGCCATATCCACTTAAGAAATGCACTTTTAAATATATATATATGGCAATTTGTAAAATAAAGATAAGAACGCATTTCAAAGATCCTTACGTAGTCTTCTCCTCTGTCTGCCATATTGCCAAACACATCTCTACTTAGTTCGTCATTTCTTCGTTCCTTTGAAAATAAGAGAAAAATACAGGGGAAAAAAAAAAAATCTTCTTTCCCCGTCCCCCCAAAACAAGAAAACCCAACCAGCCAAAACAAGCGCAAACAACTTTTCCCGCCCCAAAACTGAAGCGCACCTACTCATCCCCTCCCTACTTCCAAAATCAAAATTCCAACTGGCTTCGCTGGTTTTCCTTCACTATTGTTACCTGAAGAAGAAAACTACCCGTCCAAACGCCCGGGGCTATTGCGGAGGGCGGGAAGGGCGTGGGGCGCGGCGGGCGCGGCGCGGCGGGCGCAGGCGGTGTCTGCCTCGCCGCAGCCGCCGTCCGGTTCCCGCCGAGGGGCACGCCGCGCTCGGAGATCATGCCGCAGATCCGCTTCGCAACCTCCCTGATTGTGGCGCGACGGCTGCTGCAGCTGCTGCAACTGCAGTTAGTGCTGCAGCAGCTGCTGCAGCTGCTGTCGCAGCTGCTGCTCGACACCCCCATGCTTACGGCGCAGGGCGACCCTGCCAGCCTTTCCCACAGCTCCGAGCACTTTCCTTCCCGCAGCAAGCCCTACCCCTACCTCTCTACCCCAGCAGTGGCGGGAAAAAGAAAAGAGGAAAAGCATCCCGGGTCACCTCCGCCCTGAAAAGTCGCGGCTGCGCGGCACTTAGGGCGGGCTCCACATACCGGATCCGACTGACCCCCGCCGAGCCCCGGGGTGCAGAGCAGGAGAGCGGAGCTTCCCTGGAGTTTGCTCTTGGCCGAGAGGTGCCACAGCCGGCGTGTGCTGATGCCGGGTGGGCTTTATTGGGCTCAGCTGGGGGTAAAATTCAGTTAATTTTGGACCAGAGAGGAATGAAGTGAATGAGAAAAATCATTGCGAACACGTGGCGTCGTTTAAAGTGCGATAGCCGCGCTCGGAGTTCAACGGCTCGGTCTCTGTGCTGTTGTGGAGGGCGTTTTTCTTTCTTGTTTTTCACACCAAAAATCAATCTCCTTCCTTTCTTCCCATAATCTCCCACTCCAAAAAAACTCAAACCAAGAAAAAAAAAAAAAACCGAAAAAAAAACAACAAAAAAAACCCCAAAACCCCAGAAAACCAATAAAAACAAATTCACGAAAACCAAACGAACCAAACAAAAAGCTCCAAACTTCAGACCCCATCGCATGTTTCTTTGGAAAATAAAAAGGTAACACAAAATCTTTAACTGTTCAATAAATTCAAATGTGCCTATCAATACAACGGCACCAACACCAACTTCGCACTTTAAATCAGCTACTACAGAGCATATGGCAAGGGGAAACCGGCCAAGCAACGCCGATTTCGTTTACATCCAAAAAGCAGGTTACTCAGCATCTTTGCCTCCCTCCAGAGACTTTACGAGGTGAGGGCAGCTCCGAGCCACGCTCAAGAGAATCCCGGTGGGGCAGAGACGGGATCTTCCCATCACCCTCCCGCCATCCCGGCCGCCCGCGGGAGCGAGCGGCAGAGCCCCGCGGCTGCCGGGTTAGACTTCCGAACCCGGCTCAAATTTGCCGAAGTCACGGCCCCCAGTGTTGGGGGGGGGGGGTACATTTGTGCACGACCCCTGCATCTACCCCCCAGTCACACACCTTCAGGTGAGGGTAGCGAAACCCGCCTGTGGCGTGGAGGAGGAACGCAGCTCCTGCCCCACCTAGGGGCCGCGGTGGGGTTCGGTGATGGTGCTGCTGTTCCGCCCACACCTCAGCGACGCCCCGACGGCATAAAAAGCCGGGAGCCATCACCTACAGCCACTCTCTGCCATGAAGCTCACCTGGGACATTAACGACCCCAAGCTGCCGCAGGTACCGGGTGGGCGGGGAGGTGCTGGGGAAAGGCTCCGTCCAGGTCTAACGTGGAGCTGGGGAACAGCAGAACGAACTAAGCTCTAAGCAAAGCTTTGTTTTACATCTGCTTTTACTCCTCTTTTCACTTTGTGTTGTTTTATAATCTTTATAGAGTCACTTATAATAAAAGTATGGATTTGATACACAGCTTTGCCTACCTGGATATGAACTCCTAGAACAACCTGTGGCTCCATTTGGACAGTTTCCTCCACCCTCTTCCTCCTCCTTGTTCAATAAATGTTGAATAGGAACTCGAATTGATTGTTTACTATGACCCAAGCTACCTAATTATTTATTTGGTTTATTGATGCAACACTTTAATGCCAATGAGCACTCCACTGTTTTCTAGTTGTGAAATTCAAATGGATTTTTAAATTTGCAACTTTTTTCCTCTTAGAGTTTAAGTTTACAGAGCCCATACTCTTATGCCTTAATGAAGGTCTTAAGGCTGTAGTTTGCTTCTGTTTGCTGGGATTGCTCTCACATGTGGTACATACATATATTAAATATGTATTGCATTATAAATATTTGCAGTTTAAAATCTTCTTTCATAGGTCTAGTAATTACATTTTAGTAAGGAACTCCAGAAAGCCGTGAAATCCCAAACTGAAATGTTCTTTGTTTGTGCGACTACACATATATTGGAAGTACATTTGCAATAACAAATCTTTTTATCTCTATTCTTTTTGGGAAAAGCCTTATTCAAATCATATTAGATGCACTTTAAGAAGCCATTCCATACCTAAAACTTCTAGTTTCCTGCCTGCAGGTGCATTATCCCACAACAAGGAGAACTTAATAGCAGTCATGATCAGAGTGGCTTGTATTTTGTCTGTGCACTCTGATAGTACACTAGTCAGTGAATTCTGGGAATAAGGCTGATGTCTTATAGCTGATATAACTTCACTGGAAAAGGCAAATGCATCAGCAGACAGTGCTACAAAGCATGATGCAAAAGAGGAAAGGATCCTGACTTTCTTTTCAGATACGGAATCTCAGCCTGCCCTAGCCCTTTTAGAGAGCATTTCTGAACAAGCTATTCTTTGGATGTTTTTTTGTGCTGCTTGTCTGGTGATAGAAAAAGCATTTGCTCCCGTTATGTGTCTTATAAGAAGGCAAAAATATCAGGTTGTAATACGTTAATAATGTTCTCTTGCTCTTCTCCTTGCTGCCTTGCCCTCCCACCTGACCTGTCCCGCTGCAGGAGCCCAAGCACTTCGACACCTTCCAGGAGTGGCCCGATGGCTACGTGCGGCTCATCTACTCGAGCGAGGAGAAGAACGCGCAGCGGCACCTCAGCGGCTGGGCCATGCGCAACACCAACAACCACAACTGCCAGATCCTCAAGAAGTCCTGCCTGGGCGTGGTGGTGTGTGCCCGGAGCTGTGCTCTGCCCGGCGGTGCCAGGCTGCAGCTGCGCCCCGCCATATGCGACAAGGCTCGGCAGAAGCAACAAAGTGAGAGGCTGCGATGCCCAAGGGACCCCGTTTCTGACATCTGGGCTTGATTTCCAAACTGGAGTCACCCTTACTTGCAGGCAGACTAAGGCATAATTGCAGTGACTGATTAATTCCAAATCTCACCAATGTCTGTCTGCAAATATTTAAGGGGATATGGATAAATCCTTTAAATTACTAGCGTATACATCTAGTGCGAAGTTCTAGTTCATACCATTTAGCTATACTTGGTAGTCCATGTTGCATTTCCTTAAATAATACATTTTAATCTGGATTTTGGAAAAGTCTGATCATGTTGCTCTTGAGCTCTCTTTACTCTCAGGCAACATCCTTGTCCTTAACCAACCTCTTTAGTAGTTTCTTTCTGTTCACAGAGAAAGCCTGCCCCAACTGTAACTCTGCCCTCGAGTTGATTCCTTGCCGAGGACACAGTGGCTACCCGGTCACAAACTTCTGGAGGCTTGATGGCAAAGCAATATTTTTCCAGGTAGAAAGCAGCTGTGTGTATTTTTGCACACCATATAAAAATAACCTGTATATAAAATGATACCTGTAATGTGATTTCTTCTTTCTCCCCCCATCTTTTTATGTAATACAGACCATGATGAGCATGATGGAGGTCTTGTCTGTGACTGAATTTCTCTTTAATATGAACATGATAAGAACAAATAAAACAATAACACTTGGCTGTCTGTTTAAAAGCAGTACTTATGGGTTGGCAATATTCAGTTTTAACTGCAATATCACTGATGGGTAAAGTCTTCCTCTTTACAGAACACAAATATGAAAAAAAAACGGTTGTCTTGCACCCTGGTTGCATATGACAACTGGATCTCTCCAATGTTATTTCCAAATATTTATTTCCTACTAAAATAAATGGGGGAAAAAAAGTCTTACTTAGTTTATATGAGTTGAAGCATAATAATTCTACTTAATGTAAAACTAGCCTTTGAATATTGACGGATTTTAAATCTTGACAGAAAAAAAAAGAATCTTAGCTGAAATTTGAAATTTCATCTTGATTTCTCTTTTTTTAGCAGCATTGGAACAAAAACAAAACAAAAAGTTTATATTCTATGAGATTACATTTTCTCCTGGATAATTTTTTCCCCGACTCACACGGCAGTGAATTCTGTTCTCCAGTCAGTAAATGGAAGAAAACTAGCCATATTCCCAGATTCCCCCCTTTATTACTCTTATTCAAATGTTCTCTTACAGACATGCAAAACTGGAAGACTTTACTATCAAAAAATTGATAAACCCTTGCTTAGAAGTTAATTTCTGCTTGAGAAAGAACAATGTTTTAAAAGCAATTTTTAGCTTTATACTTTGTATTAGGGACTGTATGTAGGTGTGTTAAGACAAATGAGTAAGGAAATGCAGTGTCCATTACTTCATCATATGCCAGTGTAACTTTGGTTAGGTAGATCTGCATACCCAGAAACAGCAGAACATCTTCAGATGGTTTTCCAGGATATAATTTTCAGTCCTGTTCAAGAAGGTGTGTTGCTTTAAGAGAATATTTTTTCATCTTGTGGCATGAAACCTCTTTAAAGCCCATTTATACTATTTATATATGTGACTATAAGACAGAACTGAGATACTGGACTGCAGAAAATCAATCAAATTAATTTTTTTTCCCTTGGTTCTAATTATCTACTCCTGAATGTCACAAACTTAGGTAGCACTTTTGTTCCTTCATCAGCTCTGCAGTCCTCATTGACTTCTTCTTCACTTTTTCCTTCTATCTACATCCAAATAATGGTTTATTCTATTTATTTTCACAATGAATTTGTCCATGTTTAGTTTCTCCTTCCTTTTTTCTTGAGCCAAACCACAGACCATGCTGTGACTACCCCTTGTACTACTTACAGCATTTTCTCTAATCTTACCCCCTTCCAGGTTCACATCTAATTTTCAGTTAATCCTAATTTAGGCTAAAGGAGTCCATGACCACCCCCGGCCAGAGAGTAAACTGGAGGCAGAGGCAAGAAGAAGTGCAATTAAGAAGCAAATGTCCTCTTATCACCACTCCCAGAAAAAGAGAACTCTAAATTCAGAGGTAAATCAAAATCATTAATGAAATAAAAAGGTGACAAAAATGAAGACTTTTTTGTCAATTAGAAAGATGTGGTAAGTATGTATTGGGAATCCCAGGGCAAAACAAAGTTTTACACCATGCTATTAACATGTATTAATAACAAATATGTTAATTTGGAGCTGAAACTAGCAATAGCACAAGTATTGAGACTTTTGTGTGTGGGCAGTATTGATTCCTGTACCTTAAAGATCTACTTCTCCTTGTCAGGCAGGAAGGTACCCTGACAGCAGTGGTTACACCAATAGCCTACAGAATTTTCACTGCATGGATGGCCCAGAAAGAGTCGGTATCTTCACAGACACCAATTTTTCAGTTCCAGCCCAGTCTTACCCTTCGCTGCAGAGCGCAGACCTCTACAAGGCACCTTACGACTCAGCCAGCTTCCAAGAGGATCAGCTATCGCCATACCCTCCTAAATGCCCAAATCCAAGGATCTACATGCCCATGCCATGCAGTTATGAGTTTGGAGTTCCTACCTTTATAAGCTCAAGTCCTTACCCAACATTTTACAAAGATCTGCCCAGTCCTGCCATTGATGCAGACCCCCTCAGTCTGAATGGGTCTCACTACAACGCTGTGACCTCCCATGATAAGAGCTTTGATAACCCTGGCAGACATTACGGACTGAAACCAGCGTGGGGGAAAACCAGCATCGGAGACCGCAGTGACTACGGGCAGATGGCAACAAGTGCTCCCCACCCTTACTGCAGTGGGGACTATCCCTGCAGGTACAGCCCCAGCCCCGCTCCCATGGCCCCACCACTGCAGACAGTCATCACCACCACCACCAAGGTGTCCTACCAGGCCTACAAGCCACCCGCGCTGAAATACAGTGACAACCTCTGTGATGTGAAAAACCTCCAGAGCTACACCCATGTGGCAGAAAACATCTCGGGTGCTGTCTATTCAGGGATGAAGATTCAGGAAGACTTTGGAATGATAAAGTCAGCTTTGCTATACCAGCATGACTCCATCCCCACAAAATCCAAACCAGCCGAGAGTGTGGAGAGCTATCGGTATGGGCTCCCTCTGGGGAACAGCTTTGCTGAGCATGAAGGCCAGGCCCTAAGGTTTGAGAGTGCTGAATATTGACTAGATAGTGCCTAAATGGCAAATACCTACTGATGGGAGAATAGATCATTATGCTGAGTATGTGAGTGCTAAGCCAAGTGGTTTGGGGTTTGAGGAGATGTAAGGAAGCAGAACATCACGACAGTTTTTTCCCAAAAGCGCCTTTCTGGATCTGTGTGCTGAGTGAATTATATTTTGCATCTAATTTCAAAGAAACCCCACACAATCTCTAAAATGGCACAAGGAACTGAGCCCAAAAGAAGGTAACATGGAAACACAGCTCCTCTGGAAGTCAACAGCCTCCTCTGACAGCAAGTGCAATCCACTTATAGCTACAACTCCTGCCTCAAGCTTTGAGAGAAAATGCTCTGTCTGTAGGAAAGAAAAGACTAATCAGGTAACAGGAAAAAATGAAGGAAGGTGGCTATGGATTATAGTCAACTGAAAGAAATGGCAGGGAAAGAAAGAAATAACAGAAATATGAAAGCAAGACAATTTGCAGAATAATTCACTTGCCATGATCCTTTTGATGAATGGAAAGTTCAGCTAAGTTCCTCTGAAATAAGAAATTAAAAACCTGAAACCTGAGAAATGAAACATGCTAAATTAATGTTGCTTTTTGATCCCCTGTATCAAGAGTAGAGACAACCCAGCCTTTCTATGTAAGAAGGACAACCCAGCACAGCTACACCAGGAACTGATGCCTTGTAACACTCAGCCTGGAGGCAGAAAGGCTCAGGCGACCCCCACCAAACATGCTCAGCATCACATGGCTGCCAGAGTTAACACGGAGTGACCCTGAAAACCATTTACAGTCAAACTGGCTTTTGTTTAACGGGGCCTGGCAAGCTGGTCAGACCAATTGGTTACTGGTTCTCTTTACCCATGAATACAACTCATCCTGTTTAAGAATGCAACATAGCAGCTTCTTAGTACAGGTCAGTGTTAAATGAATCTTTCCTGGCTCCCTCTCTGCACTCCATCTCCATCAGGTATTTCTCCCTCTCCCAAGGGACTTGTAGTGATTTTTCTCTTTGTAGACATAGCTCCCCATAACAGCACTACTTCGGAAATTAAACAAGCAGGCAACAGAGAGGTTACAAAACAAAATCTCCAAACTAAGCTAAGAAAATAAATCATAAAGAAATACATTCTCAAATTCATCCCTAAAACAACTAATTCTTCTTTAATCTGGAAAGAAGAAAAAAAAAAAAAGAGCAGTGCTGGTTTAAAACTAAAGATAATTTTGAAAGCCACCTAGTACTGGGGAATAGAACCCTTACTCAAAATGTGTGTGCCAAGCAAGGGAGCTAAGTAGACACAAGGGTTGATCAGGGTAAAAAAAAATTCTTTGGGTGTCATTATTATTGAGTTACCAAGTATCTTTAACTTTTTGAACACTTTTCTTTTTTACCTCTGTCTTACATATATTTTTGCTGTGTTTTGAGAAGCACCATACTACTGTAGTCTTTCAATAAATGTAAAATCACAGTTAAAAGCAAGGCACCCTGTAAAGTAATGTGAGCAGCTGGCTAGTTAGAATTATAAGGTTCTGTGCACTGAAGCTATCATTAAACTGGTAAACAAATTGTATCTTCAAAGAACAGCATACAAATATCTGAGGTTTAAAAATAATTATTTCTGATGTAGTATACTTTCTCTTTATATTTTTATGAAAAACAATGTGTTCAGTCTGAGATGTGAAACTGAGCCCCACAGAAATTTAGTTAATAGCATTCTGTTTCAGCAGTGGATTGTTCAGCATTTTAAAAATTCAAGCCAGACAAAGATGGAATTCACAAAAAAAATTCAAGCCAGACAAAGATGAAATTCACAAAAAGACTAGATTAATTCACCTGCAGCAAGCTTACCTTGTCTTTTAGCTCTAGTGTACTTTCTGTATATCTCCCTTGGCTTTTGTTAAACTCTTATGGTAATTCTTCTACCAAGTGTTTTAAATTACTGATAAGAAGAGATACAGGTGAACAACATCAATTTGATAATTAGCCCACATACTTTTAACCCTTTAAAAAAGAAAAAAAAAAGGTGGTTTGTGAGTTATTACCCAGAAAGACTAATGCAAAATTTTAGAGTTTATAAATATATAACACTATGCCTGTTTAGAGAACTGGGATTTCTCAGCTGTATGCCAAATCATATTGAGGCATTTAACATGTTGAATAATAATCAAGGCTTACAGACTTGTCAGTTTAAAGGGGAAAAATGTATAAGAGGGGAATAAGGCAAAACGAAATTACTAGAAAAGCTGGAAAGATTCACTGCAGGTGGGAAAATAAAGGAAAATATTAAAGCTGTAAATTGCTATATTTTATAGTGATTTTAGAGGAGTTAGCCAACCACAACTCAAGCACAAGTTATTAAAATAGTACTAGCTATTCAAACAGACAAGCTGTGGGGGTTGCATGCTGTTTACATTACTGGTATTAAACTTGTAGTTGTATGCTTAAATATTATGCTGTTCAATTTAACATATCCTTTAAAGGAGAACTTTGTACACCAGTAAAGAAAATGCAGCCAATTGTGTTAAGATGCTACTTTTAGTGTATGGATATATTTATAATAAACATCACAGCTGTTTAAGCACAGTGGAAAGCTATGGTGGTGGTTACCTTGCTGCATCATCTAAGCAGTACAACAAATAAAACCACTCGAAAGGTTATTGCATTCTTTCTTCACCTTGATTCCTCTCATGTACGAGTGTCTATGATGACATTAGCTGTATGTTACCTTTTAGAGAAAAAAAATCAGATGGAAAAAGTCTAGAGCTGCATAGAGGTTTTCTCTTCAAAATACATAAATGTAAAGGCAATGGGAGCTTCTGTAACAAAAGAAAAAAAAAAGCTGAAATTGAAAGCCTCATTGTAGGTTTATACAGCTGCAGCATTGACTTTAAAAGCATGTTCCTCAGGCAAAGCAGCATCCTGAAGCAAGATGGTCCCTGAGTAAGCATCTTCTCTTCCATTACTCGTCCTTTTCAAGTGTGGTTTTTGGTCCTGCATTGAGCACCTGAGAGGAGCCCTTCACCAGCCTGTACCCTCTACTCTGACAGGCATCTTCATCTAACAAACTCCAGTTGTTATGGCACAATCACAGAGGGAGCGGAGGAGAAGGTGCTTTCAAATCTGTCCCCTGTGGCTCTGGCTTCAAATGGGTTACAAGTGCCCTGCTGAGTAAAGCACCACTTGTCCCCATGCTGAGGATGCCCTTTGTACCAAAACTGCAGCCACACAATGGCAAAGGTTAAAAGCCCAAGTGTTGAGCAGATGCCTCCCAGAGCCAAGAGGCCTTGTGACAATATTTTTCACTCCTGTACCCACGAAATGTAGCCATGTGTCACACACCTGACAGATGCAAATATCTGTGTGCATCACATCATGGAGGGCAGAAAGAGCCTGGCAGACTGTCCTTCTCCATGACCACCTGTATCCACCCAGTCCTGCTAAAGAACTCCTGTGAGAGTCCAAGCAATCTGCTTAGTCCTTGCTCTTCTTCTGAAACCAGGTTATTTCTGGGCTTTTCAAATGTGCTAAATGCTACAAATAAGGCATGCAGAAACTTGGCTGTTTTGGGCTTATTGAGCTCGAAGTAGCTGATCTCTTCATTTGGGGATAAAAGCTATCACTTTAAAGACAGAGTTTTTCCATGAGTTTTTCCATGAGTGGAAACCAGCAGTGTAACAAAGCTGAATATGATTCGAGACTTTGGTATTTCTTCTGGATTGCTGGGGTTTTTCTTAGTGTCTTTTTGGGGGAAACCTGTCTAAAACAACTGAGACAGTTTTCATCCAAGTAAAGCATGTTTCCTGAGAGACATCATTTAGCAGGATGCACAAGGCAGCTCTAGGGATGCATTTAGTAAAGTTAATGTCATTCCCACCCTTATCATTGAAGTCAAATGCAGACAAAAAGGGGAGAACTGAGGCATTTAGTATTGGAGTGGTTCCTCTCAATACACAGAGTGAAGTTAATCCAGGCCTGTTAAAATTCCTGTGCCTGAGAAATAATGAGAGTGGTGCACAGTGGTTATCCATGCCTGGATTACTGCCTTTGGTGTTCTAGCTGCTTGAAGCTAAATACCTGTCTGTCACTTAAGAGCAAAGAGAAGGTGAACCAGATAGTGTTTATGTAGTGCTGCACCTGGGATTGTGCAAAATGGAGGGTGCATTTCAGCACAGCACCTCTCCAGGCTTGCAACAGTCCTGTGCATGAGACACAAAGATCAGTGGGATGACACAGGTGCAAGTAAGTATCACAGGGAAACATATCTAGTTTGGCCCAACCTTATTCAAACAAACAGAAAAATGAATTTCACACAATCCCTATAAGCTTCAGCATGCATGCTGGTACTTGTGATTGTGTTTGGGAGAAGGTAGTTTCAGGTATCTTGGCTGGCACTTGAGCATAGCATCAACACTTTCAAGGACCACAACCAAAGAAGGTTCTTTCAACAGAAAATCACCAGTGAGTTTGTGTGTGTTGTTTTGTAAAATAAGCAGAGAAGCAGGTGTATAAGGATGTTCTCAGAGGTCCTTTAGCAGGTCTCACAAACATCCTGGGTCTCTGTTCCATCCTGTTGACTTCAGCTTCCTGGTTCATAGCGAGAGCACAGGACAGCATCTGTGTCCTGTCTTTATGACAAAATGAAGTGTTAAGTGAGTGGCTTGCAGTGCTTGTACCGCAACTCCACATCATATTACAGTCTCCGTCAAACACTGACAAGTCCTGTCTAGAGCCTTTCTGCCTTCACATGTGTGAAACGTTGGGGACAACAGACATGAGGTCCTGGTAACAGAGTTTAGACTTAAATATTTCTCTTGTGCAAAACTAATGCAGAAATTATTTAAACATCAACCCCTTGCTTGTGCCAGATCTCTTATAAGTGGCTGTAATTAGACTGAAAATGTCCCACAGGCAGCCAAGAACATTTTCATCTAGTTCAGCAACATGGACAGTGGGATTGAATGTACCCACAGCATGGCTGATGACATCAAACTGTGTGGTGCAGTCAGCACACTGGAGGAAAGGGATGACATCCATAGGGACCTGGACAGGCTGGAGAGATGGGACTGTGCAAACCTCATGGAGTTCAACAAGGCCAAATGCAAGGTCTTGCTTGTGGGTTTGGGCAACCCCAAGGACAAATATGGGCTGGGGGAAAATGAAGTGAGAGTAGCCCTGAGGAGAAAGGACTTGGTTGATTTGGTTGCTCAGCATGACCCAGCAGTGTGTGCCTGCAGCCCAGAAAGCCAAATGTGTCCTGGGCTGCATCCAAAGCAGCGTGGCCAGCAGGCTGGGGGAGGTGATTCTGCCCCTCTGCCCTGCTCTGGTGAGACCCCACCTGCAGTGCTGCATCCAGCACTGGGCCCCCCAACATGAGAAGGACGTGGACCTGCTGGAGCAAGGCCAGAGGAGGCCACGAAAATGCTCAAAGGACTGGAGCACATCTCCTATGAAGACAGGCTGAGAGAGCTGGGGTTGTTCAGCCTGGAGAAAAAGGGGCTCTGGGCTGACCTTGTAGCATCCTTCCAGTACCTAATGGGAGCTTGCAAGAGAGCTGGAGGACTTTTTACATGGGCACGTAGGGATAGGACAAGGGGGAATGGCTGTACACTGAGACAGGGTGAGTTTAGGTTAGATATTAGGCAGAAATTCT